AAAGGTAATGAGAGTGTTTACTTTTAATGAGAGTGTTTACTTTTTATTTTCTGCTTACTACTAATGAGAATGTTGTAGAAGATGTGAAGTGCACAAGAAGCTGATAGTTGGTACAAGTAAACAAGTAATGAATTCGACGAGTCATCGTAGAAGAAAGTAAGATCTACGCTTTTCCTTTCTGCTTCTAGCCTGTCGCTAATACACCTCAACAAGTTTAGGAGCGATTGACCCTCTAATTTCTCAACCTGTCCTAAAAATCATTCTATCACATTTGCGTTTTTTCTTCTTGAGAACTAAGTTCTTAGCTACTTATTGCTGTAAAACGTTTATTTTTATCTATAAAGCAAACTACTTTGAGACGTTTCTAGAAATATTAAATCTTAATAAACGTGTCGTAGAAATAATTGGTTGGGAGATCCGTATACTCAGAGTGAACCGGCACGGAATGACCATGAAAGGTTTGTCTTCAAAACGTAGAGATGCTACAGTGGTCAACTGACTGGCCATTTGATACCTTACATGAAATTCTCTCAAAATGTAGTATCATCGTATTTTTCTATAAACCGCACTACTATATAAAAATACCAACAATTCACTTACTGGAAGGACAAAAGTTAGGCGTAGTCGGTCCTACGCAATTCAGGAATTTCAATATATGGAAGGGCTGTGTGCTAAGAGTAAACGATTACCAGGACCCATTATCGTCCTGCTATCGAAGTCGCATAGTGGAAATCTCCCTCTGATTCACAGGGGCTGATACTGCCTGCAGTGGTGTACACCTGGGGCAGACTTTGGCCACGCTGGCTTCGGCATTCCAGAAAATCACAATGGCTTAACCAGCAAATCTCTGAAAAATGGAGATTATGGTGGGGCTTGCACAACCAATGAGGACGGGCCGTTCAAGTATCAAATATTAAGAAAGTAGAAGAGGTTCTCTATCGGTATTTAAGTTGGAAGATACATTCCAACATCTACATCAACATAAGACAGTGAAAATCTTGTAAAACAGTGGGTTTGCACTAGCTTGAAAAACAACTACTACAAAACTGGGAAACCTAGGTGAGTTCTGAACCCGCAGCAACCTATTCCGGGGACTTACGTGTTATTCACTGCACTACCAAATGTCGTAAACGAGTAGATGGAGAAAACAGAAGGTTGCAGTTATAGTTCAGGACACGATAATACGATTACTAAAAATCTAGTCGGACGCCACCTTGAAATACAGTAGTGAACCTTGGCTGCGAGTAAGAAATATCAGGATCATTGCATAAACATGAATATGGAAGAAGTAATAATAGCACTGGGGCCAAATATGGCCACTAAACCTTCAGGTGCTCGCAAGAGCCGGTCAGAAGGCAAGTTTATCGGTAGCAAAATGACGGATACTGCCCCCGACGACTGTTTGAACAGATTTGATTGGCTTTGCATGGCTCTATTCAACACCAGCTAGAAGGATCATCGACTTCACGCTTAGATGTGGTCTATTTCGGTTAGGGAACAACGAACTATTATCGCTTTTATTAAGGAATTTAGAGCTCTCAGTTTTCCGCAGCATCTTGCTGAGTCAGTGGAGGCTCAAAGAAAGGCTATAGAATTTCGGACAAAGATGTTCCGACAATGACTGTAAAGCTAAGGCGTTAACAATCTGCAGTCATGCAAATTCTTTCGCCAGTCTGTGGATTCGCTACGACACAGTTTACTTCCAACTTGTGACAAAATTCGACTGCAAACAGATACTCAGTGTTTTCTTGCATTATTGAGCTCACACTGGCTTGGAAGCTCAATAATCTAAGAAAATGCTGATTATTCGTGCTCACATCAAATGCCCTCCCAACGGTTTACCGCCTCACCGGGGCTAGATGTTCCTGTGTGTCGGACTGCGATGTACAGCGGAGAGATTCCTCCTCCCAGCAGGGTCTTCGATGCTGAGAAGGAGCCCGACGTTTCCATCAGAAAGCCTGGCTAAGAGTAAACGAATACCAGGATCCACCAGCTTCATGGTATCAAAGTCATATGGTGGCAAATCTCCCTCTGATCCACAAGAACTGCAATTGCCTGTGGTGGTGACGACCTGGGGCAGACTTTGGCCAGGCTGACCTCAGGATTCCAGGGAACCACAATGGCTTAATCAGCAAATCTCTGAAAAGTGGAGATTATGCTGGGGCCCGCACAACCATTGAGGACGGGCCATTCAAGTATCAAGTGTCAAATAAGATCAAGTGCAAAATCTGCTTTTGGAAAGAGACAGGTACATTCGAACGTATAAATACGAAGTATCAGTCCTTCAGTTAAAGCTTCATTTGTAAAGAACTGAGCAGTTATACCACTCTGGCTAGCTCATCGATAGATTTCGTGTTCTTCAGTGCCTGAAAGGGGCATAGTGGCGTTCCGAACATCCAGTCTTTCGTTGTGGGTGTTTCAAAGGATGAGAAACCTCCTAATATTCACATGGGAGGAGGAATGTGCTCATTGCGAGTGTTTCCCTTCCTCCTTTGCCATGTGGACTCATTTCTAGAAAGATGGTGACAATAGACAATGTGGCAGAAACTTGACTTTCGTCGGGTTCTGAAAACATCAATCCCTGATGGATACGCCATGACCTCATTGAGCATCGTTTGGAGATGACTGAATGTATATCTGGCCTTTACAATGGCTCGTGGTGGCCTATCATTTTTTTCATGGCAGGGTAATGTTTGAAATACAGTGCTGCTACCCTCCCAGACCAGTTTGGTATCAATTTGCCGACCCCGAAGTGATGGAAGGCTTGGTGAGCCATGGCTGCGTGGATCGATTCCATGTGTGTGTTGCAAAGTGCCTCCGACCACTGCGCTGCAAGTGCCCATCCGACAAGAGGACAATAAAAAGTTAACATTGTGATTTCAGCTAAAGCCTCAGCTTAACTGGGTTCATTGTCGATTTGGGCTCCCTAGATCAGTACCGTTGACGGGTGAATATTGATCGCACTGGTCGATAGGAAATTAACTGAGAGACAAGCGAAACAAAGGAACCGCATGGTGCCCTGGTGAACGCGTTAGCCCCTGAAAGGGTAATACCGGGTTCCTTCCCCACCGCAGACACCTGTAATGCGGAGCTTTGCAAATATCTCGGCATCATTATGGTTACAATAGGGTTGGTTAACTTTTTATTTATTGCCTATCATTTTTTTCATGGCAGTGTATTGTTTGAAATACAAGCACGATGATGCTGAAATATTTGCGAAACTCGGAACTTCAAGTGAGCTTTGAACCCATGATCCTCCATTCCTAGAGGTCACGTGTTATCTACTACACCGTGAGACACTTGCTTTGCTTTCTTCTCAGACAGTTTTTTAAACCCTATCAGTAATTGTCCGTCGATGGGAATGATCTGGGGAGCACAAATCGGCATTGAACCCAGTTAATCTGAAACTGTGGCCGAAATCACAATGTTTGGCTTTTTATTTGAGAGCGAGACGAAGCAAAGACCTCAGTGGTGTTGTGGATAACACGCGAGCCCCGAAAGGGGTAATCACGGGTTCGAAGTTCAGCTGGGGTTGCGAGTTTTTCTTGGATAGTTCTCGAGAAAACAAGTTAATGTGGTTTGAGACCCCAATAATGAACTCTAGATTACATTCCACCCTTTTAATTAGTGCTCTGAATTGGGTAAATATTATACATCCATGGATTTGTATCCTTGTGTTTTAAGGTCACATGACATAATAACAGTTTGCTATGCATGACAACAGCTTGGTGTATTCCTCTGTTGAACAGTGTTTTTAGCGCTAGACACATCAACATCGTGAAGTCTATTTGATGTTGAGTTTTCCTTACTTTGTCTCATTTTCTCTGTATATATGAAAAACAGGTGAGTGTAGCGCAATGGTTAGAGATGCCCTGCAACACACCCGTGGTCGTTGTTTTGATCCCGCTTCCCGCCATTAGCAAACCTTGGCACGGCAACATTAGCTCGATCTCGATACATTGGTAGGCGACTGCAATTCATTTTGTCGGCGAGATATGCATTCAGTCATCTCTAGTGATGGTTAATGAAGTCGAACGCATGGCTCATCCGTCAGAGATTGATCACTGCCGATTGATCACTTCTGCATTTACCCTTTACATGAAAATTGCAGGAGGCGTGCGTAGCGCAGTGGTTAGAGGCGCTCTGCAATACACGTGGTATCGATCCCGCACCCCTGGTTCACCAAATTTTCCATCTCTTCTGGGTCGACAAATTGGTACCAGACTTGTCTGGGAGGATAGTAGTACTGGCTTAATACGTCGATAGGCCACGCCGAATCGGCCAGATGAACATCTCATTCAATTACCTCTAACGATGCTTAATAAGGTGAAATGTATGCATCTCTCAGGGGTTGGTTAACGCCGAAAGCTTTACTTTTTTTCTTTAATGGAAAGTGCACGGTCGGGAGGGTGATCCTGGGTATATCCCACGAGAAAAGGGAATCGAATGCAAGAAGTGCTGGCATCCGCACAGTAGATGTGATGATGGGTCATATGAAAATTTTTAAAAAAGTAGAAATTCGTTATTTTGAGCGAAACACGTGTGAATTCGATACATATTGATCTGCTTGGCCGACGGACCAATCAGAAAGCGCGCAGGCAGTCCGCACCGCCGATGCTGCGTCCAATCGCGTGATCGATGTGACAAAGCATTCCGAGTGTTCGTCGGGTCCCTCTCCATCCTAATTCCAGAACATTTTTCCATCGCTTTGCTTTCCTGGATGTGATTTCTATCCATTGTGAAGTCATCTTCAGTCATTTGTCTATGCATTCGGACAGTTCTTGACAATTTAAACCTAACTGGTCACGAGATTTGTGACAAAATTCGAGACCAGGCTATAACGTTACCGTCATGTAAGCCTTGTTTTGACTGTTTTCTTTTACGAACATGATGAATGTATACGTAATTGGCGTAATATTTTTGGTCTAGTGTGGCCCTACCAATATAGCGTATGTTAAGATTAGTTCCATTATAGATTACTGAAGTAAGGACGTCGTCGAATGAAAAGAGGAAGTGACGAAGAAGAGAAGTTCCGGTGTAAGCTCTGTGACAAAGTTTATTGTGGTGAGCAATACCTGAAGAATCATCACAAGGCAAGCATCGTGTTTTTCTGGATTCATTCTATACAACTAAGATAATGCTGAGATATTGGCAAAACTCCGGACCGCAGGTGTCTGCAGTGGGGAACGAACGCGCTCACCACCACACCATGCGGGTTTTTCGTTTCGCCTGTTTCTCAGCTAGTTCTATTGATCGGCGCCATCAGCAGTCGCCTGTCAACGGGACTGATCTTGGGAGCCCAAGTCGGCAACGAATCTAGTTAAGCTGAGGCTGAAGTCGAAATCACAACCTTAACCTTTTCTTATTTACTGCCTACTATAATTTTTTGTTTACTGCCTAGAAACAGGTGAAACGAAAGCCCGCATGGTGTGGTGGTGAACGCGTTACTTCCCGGAAACGACAATAGCGCGTTCGCTCCCCACCGCAGGCACCTGCGGTCCGGTGTTTTGCCAATGTCTCAGCATTATCTTAGTTGTATTTCACATCATACCCTGCCGTTAAAAATTATAGTAGGCAGTAAATAAGAAAAGGTTAAGGTTCATTCCATAAAATTTCTTTCTCTCTTCTAGAGATCACACGGAAACGGAAAAGTCGTCGCGGGATTCTACGTTGTTTGCCCCGGATGTCAGCGGAAATTTCAAAACCATCCACAGTTAGAGAGGCACTGGAAATTCGAACATGGACAGCTGGAAAGTAACCTTGCCTCCAGTCTCATGCTGGGTTCGTTTGTTGGTTTCTCTCAGTTTCAGGGGTACCTATTTATATTGAATTGTGCTTTTATAGAAGTTATATAAAAAAGAATCCGGCTATACTTTGCCTCTGTCTTCGCTGAAAATGAAAACAGACTTTTACATTATTTTTTCGAATTCAAAAAATCTAGAGCACTAGGGAGTGTTGCAAACTTCCTACTTGGAAAACTGGTAGCCATTTCCTCGGTAGAGGATTCGTATCAGTAGTGAACATGTTTCCAAAGAGAAAATATCCGTTCTTAAGAGAACTTACGACTAGTTTTTAGTGTATGTTTGTAGAACAATATACGTATGGAGGGATTGTCAAGGCTAAACTAAACTCAAATATTGATCGGTTGCGTAGTTTTAACGAGCGAATACTGTTCAAATATACCCCGGAAAGGGTAATAAAATGGTTCGACCCCCGCCACAGGCACCTGGGGTCTGGAGTTTTTGCAAATATCTCAACATCATTGTAGTTGTATTTCACGTCATACGGTCCCGTGAAAAAAGAATGAACAATAAATAAAAACTGGTGGAATTTCTCTAATGACTTCTGCCTTCTCTTATATTCCATGCTTTGGCTGGTAACTGGGATACTTGAGTCGATTTTCATCATTCTCCTTTCTTCATTCGTTTTCCAGTCTTAAAACTGTAGAGTTCTCTTTACCTATCGACTTCCGTAGCGTAGATAAACTTTACACATTTTTTTTTCAATCTTCTTCCAACTCGTTGTGTTGAAAATTTAAAATTTCCAGCGTCTCTCCGCACTCGTCGCCACCTTGAATGCATAGAACGCAAAACTCGGTCAGTGGTTGATGCTGTAACGACTCAATGTTGTTCAGAACCGAGCATTGACGTTTCTGGAACGAATCTCTTTGAAACCATTCGTCAGATAGGAGGAACAGGCGAGAATAAAGATCCGAAATTACGGGTAAAAGATGAGGATCAGCAATCAGATGGAGAAAAGGTGGATTGTCAATATAGAAACATGAGTGAATTCTCTCTCGTGCGAATGAACAGGTTCAGCGTTGAAAGCGCAAATGTGAAGAAGACCAGTGGTATACGTAAAAGTCGGATATGTGACACTGAAGAGAAAAATATGATGCGTCAATTACAAGGAGCTGCAAGGCGTCGATGTAAAACATTGGAGGAAACTGAAGATAAAAGGAAGATACGAATTCAAAAACATTGCGAAAAAGCACGAATCACACGCTGGACTGAGAGTACTGAACAAAAAGAGCGTCGTCGGCAGCAAACTCGGATTAAAATAATGAGTAGGAATATCAGTAGAAGAGAACGAGACCTCGGTAGAAGAGCAGAAGAGTTGCTACTTGCAGTGAATGGTTCACAGGAAATCTTTGAGGTGAGGTGTAGGACTAAATCATTAAGGGAAACTGTTCTAGTGTTTCCAGATAAAGTGTGAAAACTAGAGATGTTACTTAAACCATGCTTATATCTCAATATGAAGCTAGACTTGTGTGTTACTTATCAGGTATTCGTTTAGTCTGTTTTTCGGGCATTCCAAAATGAATTCGAAATAAATTATTGGGTTAGCTATGTTCTCTAACACATATTATGTACAAGTCTGCACCATAAGTAAGGATTCTGTTGTAGGACAGTGAAGAAACTGAAAATGTAGATGGTGACACGGTGCTTGTTAAAGACGATCCTTTTTCATCGAAAAAAAGCAAGTCTTCCTTAAGAAAGAGCGAGTAAGTTTACCTATTACTGCTTTTTTTTAAAACTTGAATGGTCAGCGTTCCTTACGTCGTTCTTATGCTTTTAGACAGAGCCTTTTAGTCTTTCCTTTACTTTAGTAATATGGGAATTTAATTTACCATATAATTATAGAGTTATATGCTATGCCGTTGTTGGAATTCATTCTAAAGAAGAGAGACAGAAATTTAAAGACCTTCTGGTATGTCTACTTTTTGAAGATTATGTTCAATTCGTTGACGGGTGATTGACTTTCGACTGCAGCCTTAGTTTAATTAGATTCAATGCTGATTTGTGCTCCCCAAATCAGTCCCGTTGACGGGTGGATTGCTGATGCCCTTAATATATAGAAAACTAGCTGAGAGAAAGGCAAAACGAAGGATGCACATAGTGTGGTGGTGAACGCGTTAGCACGTGAAGGAGTAATAGTGTGTTCAATCCCCACCGTAAACACCTCCCGTCTGGAATTTTGCAAATATTTTAGCTTGATTATGTTCTCTCTTGGTATGGGTAGTGCTTGGCAGGTCGATTTCGGCTCAAGTTGAGGTAACATGGGGACCATACTGTTTGCTTAACGCATCCTTTTAATTCCAACGGTTAATTTCCTCCCAACGGTTTACTGCTTCATCGTGGCTGGGAGGTGTTCCGGTGTGTCGGACTGCGATCTACTGCGAGGGGATTCGTACCCCGGCAGGGTCTCCCAAGCTAAGGAGTCTGTCGTTTCCATCAGGAAGCACGGCTTAGAGTAAACCAATATCAGAATCCACCAACGTCCTGGTATCAAAGTCGCATGGTGGTCTCCCTCTGATCCACAAGGACTGCGACTGCCTGTGGTGGTGAAGACCTGAGACAGACTTTGTCAGGGCTGACCTCGGGATTTCAAGGAGTACGGCAATGGCTTAACCAGCAAATCTCCGAAAAATGGTGATTGTGCTGGGGCCCGCACAACCAGTGAGGACGGGACGTTCAAGTATCAAGTATCAAGTGAGATTATGTTCATTTTTTCATCAATTCTGGTACTTCTTTCTCATCTCATACTTTTGCTTCAGGTGAACAATGGGTACAGTGATGTAAAATTTCTTAACATACACTCACCACTTATAAAGGTTTGGAGCAGCTTTGCATCTAAAGACTAAAGACTTTAGTTATGAGCATTGTTTTGCTTTCCTTTAAGGCATTTGGTGAAGATCTGAATTTACGAAGTACAGGATTACCTATGGGTCACCGTGATGTTTTTAGTGAGGGACCTTCTTTTTCAGGTTTCATATTTTTCAAGCGTGTGAATTTTATTCCAAATTAATTATGTTACTCTTGGATTCTCCAAACGTCATCAAGGATGTTTGACTTTGTCATATATTGCGAAATGTTTTTTTCTCCTGTCATAACTTCGAATTTCAGGTACCAAACCTCATTCAAGAATCTCATCACTGTTACCACATCCTGTGGGTGATTCGGCCCGTATTTTATGTTCTGGTATAAATGGAGATAAGGAGATCTTAAACAGTGGTCCAGGTAGGCTTCTACTTGTTTTATTTGACTAGCAGTGTTCTAAAAGTTATCTGCTGTTGATTGTTCATAGTATTTAGAACCTGCTAAGCAAACTGTCTTGTATGAGGACCGGTTGATCAGGTTCGATAATTTGTATTTTACTCTACAAAGCAATGCGAAACTATCCAGTCATAGTTAACTAACCAAATACTACAATTTATGTTTAGTATTGGTTAACGTATTCGATGCTTAATCGTTTTGTGACCTAATTATGCAGATAACTATAAAGTTCGAAGCATGGGTTAATAACCTGACATTTCAGTAGAGAAGTTAACGGGGTTGGTTTCCTGCTTAGCATAAGCTTAGCCCTAAAAGCGATTCTCATGAGTAAAGAACGCCTCGATTCTGAGGTTGTCGGTTCAGAAGATTCCGACCGTTGCCGGCTTCCATAGGCACTGCGCTACATTAGGCTACAAAGAGGATAAAACGGAGGCAGTTTATTGAACACCGGAGAATTATTGAGGAAATCGCAGCCTGTACTACGTCTTTATTGGCTTTCTTAATGCCAAAGCTGGCTGTAAGAGAACACATGAAGAACAGCAGACCAGACCTATTAGAATTTAATAAATGAACAGTGTGAAGGGGTGTCTATGCTTGTATTGATGACGAAGAAAGCATTACTGCTGTTGGAAATGAAATTTTTATGATGGGCAGGACAAAATTAACCACTATCGCCGCGATACAAAGGTTTCCACTACTCAGTAGTACTGCTATTTCAAGGTTTTAAACGGCATAACACCAATGCTCGTTCGTTCATGATTTTTTCCAGTAAAAGAGAAAAATCCATAAAATGGGAGGAACAAGATCTTAGAATCGTCGTAGATTGGGGCTTGCCATCGTTCAGACGTCATCCCTTACTGTGCGTAGTGCTAATAAAGGCCCAGGCTTTGAAAGCTACGAAGAACACTGGTTGTCAGCTGTCCAGTACCAGTCCTGTATTAGGCTGCGTCGCCAAGTGAAGTTCCTCGTTCACGCAGGTTTCCTCTACTGGATTCGATTTGACATTACTACGAATATCTAAGTCGCGACAACTATCATCTTGGGACCATCGATTCGGATCAACGCAGCTGTGAGGAAGGCGAAGGTGTCGAAACGTTATCCGTGTGAAAGTTTTTTATAGTTATAGTTTATGCATAGTTTAGCCTTGTGTCAGCTCAATTGTATGGATAATTACGAAGAAACCCTCAGTCTTCAGAAATACTTGGGCTAGTGGGATTCACACAAGCCGTAGGTGCAGAGGTTAAGATGAGTATCCGTAACATCGTCCAGCGGGTTCTCTTTTCCAAAGCGTAACATGCCATGTCGTCTTTGAACAAGTGCACACAAACATTACGAATGAGTAGGAACATTTCACAAAAAAGTTTCACAATTCTGAGATCAATATTTGCGCAGAGTATTGGACTTGTTGCGTGAGTCTGTGGGTCGACTAAACCCTAGACTCGCTACTGTCCCACATATTCGCTTGGCGGAAAATCTCCGTGCAATCCATAAGGGGTTGGTGGTTTTCTGACAGCTATGGGTTGTGGTAATCTTGGTATTTCGGGAAAATTCACACCCAACAGGAATTCCATTGAGTCAGGAAACCGATGCTTCATCATAATGATCACTGGTTACGGATCTCCTCGCTGACCATTGCAACACAAAGAAACGAACGGAAGAATTCTGCTACCTCATCTCATGTAGAAACTGGTTAAAGAAGTTTTTGAAAATTATCTTCGTTGTAAGGATGACACAGTTCTTATAACGTCAAACATCAGGTTGAACAAGTAATGACCGATCTTCACCGTTCTTGTCGAAAAACTGCTTTTCATCTAGGTCTCAAAACAATGATTTTAAAGTAAAGTTAGTTAGTTTCTAATGCACTATTTGTATTCCTTGGTACGAGTATCTCCGTGCACTCCAGATATACATACACATGAACTTACTAGGAGAATTCACTACGAAACTTAGGGGCTTGGCGGCGATGAACTGCGAGTGATAACTTGTTGAGTCAAAGACGATCAAGTGGATAGCAGGTGACAGGTACTACTGCTTTCACTACCAGGTGGACAAAAATCTATGTATTGACGAGCCGCTCTTCCATCCCATGGTCCTTGCCGTTATGGGAGGGAAGGATCCGAGAAGTCCACTGGTTCATGCAATTAAAAGAGAATATGGAGCTTTAACCAATGTCGATGGTCGAAGAACAGGGTTTCCGTTCGTATATAACAGCGTATTGAAAACTATATAAGCTAGATATATTATATAGCGCATAAGAAATAGAACCAGGAAGGAAATAATATAGCTTATACTCGGAGGTACTAACTAATATTCATGAACAATGAATTGTATTCTATTCCTGTTACAGTGGTCTTTGTACATCAAACCATGTTGGCGGTCTGTTTAATCGATCTAAAAAAATCCATTCAATGGTATCTGAAGATTTTCGTTGTGTGATCTGCAAAATGCGCTTCCTTGAGGATGGTTTTCGCTGCTTCTCTCGGAAACCTCATCTGAATATTGTGCTTCTGGCATGTCTGCAAGCACAAAATATTCTTGACATGGAATCAGCTAGCAAAGCCTATAGAGCTAGCCAATTGCCAAATACACGAATATGTCACAAGCACTACATGCAAGCGGTGAGTTAGTAACCCTAAAGAAGGCTAGATTTGTACGCTGGTATGAAGTAACACTTATAGGCTTCGTACATCGGTAGAGAAGTGGAACACATGTTGGGCACATTTCCAGAGCGTGGACTTGATCAAGTTCCCTTGAATATACAGGATGATTTGCTAGCCTATTTACAAGTGTATGGTGATTTCCTTGATGTAGGTGTTTAAAATTTATGCTAATATATGGAAATGGTTTTTTCTGTGTGATGTAATAAAGCGATTCTTGTAGAAAAACAGTTCTTGTTTTGTTCTTAGTTTCTCTTTAGTCCCTTAGAACCTCGCAGGGATTTAAAGAACTAGGCTATGACTTCTTAAAGCATCTAGGGAGGTGTTGCACTGAGCACAGATGACATATCACGCTTCTTCCATGAATGTCTGATGCAATATTGCCATGAAGATGAGTGGCAAGTCTTGAGATCGCATTCTACAGCGTCTTCAGCTTTAAAGGTGGTTTACTTTTGATTGCATCTAGTGTGGTAATATATTTCCCAGAAGTGGGAGGAACTAGTTATTTCAATTTTAGACAGTTTTGAAGTAGAAGTTTTAGGATTCTTCCACAGGTAGTGATTACATGAAACTCATTACTCCGTCTTTGTCGGCCGAGTCTCTGGTTGGACAAATTTCTAATTATTCAGGTATATTCGATTGCCCCCTTGTCTTTTGTGAGTTTTTTGTTTCTTTTTTTTTTTGAGCGAGGAATTGTTAGAACTAGTCATGACACACGGTCTAACTCGTCTACCATATTCTTCTTAGGTATTATGGCTCAGGGACATTTCTCACCATTATCTTCGAAGACTGAATCGGCTTGCCTTACTGAAATTTCTGCAGTGGAACTGTTAGAACCTCCTGCTAGACAGATTGATCTCCCAAAAAATGTGATAATGATCAACCCTGAGTCTATTGGAAGCGAAGGTAGGTCAGCCGTACACTTTAATCTCGTTTGGAATCAATCAGAGACATGCTTTAGTAATCGCTTTACCTATGACATGACAACAAGAATGTATTTTCTAGAAGCTATGTCGCCATCGTCGCTGGAAGGAACATATGCGAGGTATTTTTTTAAAATTTGAGTTTTACAGTTTTAAGATATCCAGTGTTTTTGTTAATGTTTTGTGAAGAGATTGTTCATAAGTTTAACCTCATCAAAGCACATTTAATTTGTTTAGGAAATGCATTTTTTAGTTCTGATCAAGTGGAGGGATCCACCTCTCCAAAATCGGTCGATCCACCTATGATCATCAGAGATCAATCGACATGTCTCGATACCTTAAACGATGAAGAATTCCGAAATCGATTCCGATTTACTCGTCGGACTTTTACACTACTCTGTGAAACGTTGGATATTTGGCTAGATTCGATGACTAACACATTCCTTTCGAAAAGGCTGCGCAAGGTGACTTGCTCTACGGGGATTAAGATTGCAATGGTGCTTGAAATGTTAGCGGGAAAATCACTACCCACCGCCGGTGATCCAATACTACAGAAAAGCGCATCTGAAATTTTCTGTGGTGTTATGGAAGCGATGGCGCAGTGGTCAATAACAATGATACAATGGCCGAATGAGGTAGAAAGTAAACGAATTAGTGAAAGGTATGGTGGTATTGTTCAGTGGTAATATTGCTTCTGACCTTATTTCTTCTTTTTCACACGTTCTATCTGTTTTCAGTTTCTTCAAGATGACTGGTTTAAGAGACATTGTTGGTTGTCTAGATGCCACAATAGTGTAAGTTGTCGTTATAGTTTCAGATGCTTTTAGAGTTGTAACTAAATAACTAACTTTTTCTTCTGTTGTTCAAACAGATGAAAGGATTAGATTTGAAGCAAAAGTTGTAGTTTCTTCATTTCGGAATCCCCTTTAGCTGTCATTTGCACATCATGCATGCGATTGGATTTAGCTGTAGACTTGCCTCAGTATGCCGCACGTACGAGCAAACTGATAAACTTCTCATTCTTTATTGGTAGTTGTAGCATGCTTGTTTGTAGGAAGGGCAAAGAACCACTCAATGTTGGACTGGTGTCTGACGACAAAATGCGCTTCCGTTGGGTATTTGCTAAGTATCATGCGGATGCAGACGATGAGATGGTGATCATATCATTATGAAAAATAGTACATGTTAATGTTTTCAACAAAAGATGTATTGTTGTGTCATTTGTAGGTTTTTAAGCAAAGTTCGCTCTGTCAACAGTTAAGAGACGGCAGAAGGAAAGGGCGTCTTGTCGGGGATGATGCATTCAACAGCGAATTATTTTTGATGACTCCTAGCGTGGGACGTGATGAGATTAAAGGTAGTAAGATTTTCTTTATGCTTGATATTTTTTATTGTCTTTTCTCCAGAAAAGGATAGATTTCTGGCAAATACTTTATGCAAAGCTCACCTAACGGTACAGGAAGCGATCGCAAACTGGAAAAGGCAGTTCCCGATTCTCAGCGGGAATCAAAAGTACGTGCATTTTATGGTTTATTAATGAATCGTCACATGGGCACTACTGAGAAAGAACCCAACGAAACATTCGTGGATTCGTATACGTGTTTAAAAGTGATTCAACTTCTCAATCATATATCAGCTTCATTGGAAGCTCCAGAAACCATGAGAAGCTACAGGTCATTCCCAATATGTATTTATCTTGGTAGACCACAACGAGATTCTAATGGTCCAGATTTTGCCAGTTGTTTTTCGCTCGATCTTCCTTGCAAGCGATTGCGGAGGCCAGATTACATCGAAAAGGATATTGTAATATCCTTGAATTCATCGTAGGTGTTTATGTGTTTCATGCAGTGTATTGAAACTTTGCAAAAACCTCATGTTTTTAAATTCTTTGATAATCTGAACTTGAAATGAATTTGGATTGAAAATAACATTTATAAAAAGTTAGCGCACCTGGCTACAATGCTAATTTTGCTTGACGGATGTATAGAACGATGCCTAGTTTTCTGCAGTTCACACGTTGTGTTTTATGTGACTCATTCCAAAGTGTCTCCATCTTCTCACAACCACTGACTGTGCCCCTTTCATTGTACCTTCCGCTCTATAATTTGGTTTTTTCTGATCTTGAAATCTATACTGTTTCATGTTTTTGAATATTTCCCACTTCTCTCGGTATCGCATACCTGATGCTCTTTTGGTTGTGAAGACATGACAAGGGATAGGTTTATAAAGCTGTGGAGTCACCTCCATTTGAAAACTGAAAGACTTGATGAAAGAGACAAACTATACAGCGATCAGTCCGCCAGTCGAACTCATCAGAAGTTAAGAGTTAATAGACTTGACAAATGCGCCTGTGTTAACTAGTGTCACATGCCTTTTAGAGGAAAACTAACATTCTACCATCGATACTTTGTTGTCGACGATCTATTATGGCAATGTACAAAGCGTGCAAATGCTTGAGCTTACGGCTTAAATATGTTCGGGTTTAATTCCTACGGACATAGTGCAAGCATCACCATCCGCAGATAGTTATGTCGTGGAAGAGAGCGGGTCAACAGTCAAAGAAAGTGGGACGCTGTATTCGCTGCTATAAGAAATTATGTAGCTGTCACAGCTCGAATGTAAACCGAGAAGGTAATGACTTGATCAAATTAATGAGGAAGTTATTTTTATTTAGATTATAACCACAACAATGCTGAGATCGCATAACTTGGCCCCGGGACCAGATCGAAACATGGTTTCCCTTTCCGGGGGCTCGCACATTACATGTTGCACCACGGAGGCCCTTGTTCATCGTTTTTCTCGGTTAATTTCCTACGTAGCGCTGTCATCTGCAGTCACCCGTCAGCGGGATTGATTTGGAGAGTACAAATCGGCATTGAACCCAGTTAAGTATATCTCAGCATCGTTGTGGTTGTAATCCACATCATAGCCTGCTGTGGAAAATTATAGTAGGCAGAAAATAAAAGGTTAACGTTGTGATTTCGACGACAGTCCCGGTTTAACTGGGTTCAATGCCGATTTGTGCTCCACAGATCAATCCCGCTGACGGATGGTTGCTGATGGTAGCGTTAGATAGACAACTAGTTGAGAGGAACACAAAGGAACAGCCTCCGTGGCGCAGTGCATAATGCGCGAGCCCTGGAAAGGCAAAGACTGGTTCGATCTGACTAGGAGTACAAGTTTTGCGAATATCTCAGCATCGCTGTGTTAGAATTCACATCATAGCCTGCCGTGAAAAATTAAAGTAGGCAGAAAATAAAAAGTTACCATTTATTTAGATTGTTCCAATTGTTCTCTCTCAATCATTCGACCTCGTTCCGGGCTCACCGAGCTTGCTATCCCTTGGTGGTCGGGAAATTGGTATCGAACTTGCATGGGAACTGTTCATTCCCTATACAATCCAAATGGGAGCGCTCTAACTGTACTATCCCAGCACTCCAGGGAAAATCGACTTAATCAGAATTCAACGGCATTCATGAAAGAGAAGGTGATTCCTAAGCAGCAGCCAAACAGCAAAATGCAAACACCTTTGTAAATGGTGGTTGCGAGGAAAACAAACCCAATGTAAGGAGTGCTTGAATCCGCAGAGCATATGTGAAAACAGGTCGTGTGAAATTAAAAAAAGTTTATTCAATAGTTGCTACAGAAAGTGCTAGTTGTAGAAGACGCAGGATAAAAAACTTCGTGTAAGGATCCTAACCAGTGGAAGTTGCAAGGTGGTAATGATTGTATTTCTTTATAAATTCTGTGTGGAACATGTGTGGAGTGAAGGTAGATGTTTTTGATTCCAAACACGACTAAACGCGTTTCTTAGTGATTTATCATTTTATCGTGCCGGCAAAGAATTTGAAATTTCGAATTTCTTAGTGTGCAAGCACGTATGCTAAGCCACCCGATGTAAATCGAACCAATAAATCTGTGAGGGTAAGGTCTTTTTCTAGATTAGTAGGGGTGAAATTCTTTTCGGTCGACGTGAGTCATATACGAGTTACCGGTCAGTTAGTTCTTCATAGAGAGGTCGACTGTGTCGTTAATGTTATAACACATAAGGATGGTATCTGCATTTTTGGAAACTGCTGATTGTAATGTATAAAGACGAAATCCCGATTGTTCAAGAGACTATTTTGTGCGTACGTTACGTCTTGACGAAAAAAAAGAAGCATAAAATATATTTCGTCGACTCTAAAAGATCAGAGTTGCATCGTGGTAAAATAAGAGGCTTTTATGTTGTGCGCAAAAGGTTGCAAATTTTAATCCTTTTTATTATAACCAATTTGACACTTAGGGGCTCGTATCCATTTAGAGGGTACGAAGATACCGACTTCAACTTTAAACCAGTATATCCTAGCTTAAGTTGAACTTTTTTAACAACCATTCGTGTCTGAGTACGATTTCTCGATCAATGTTTTTCATTGCTTTGTGGTTAAACACCTTTTAATTTTGTTTCAGATCCAGCAAAACGTCAAGAATTGTTGTTTGTTGTGCAGCGCTGTACAATCTTGCGAGAGCAGAAAACGAACCAGTGTTTACCGCGAAAGAAGGAATTCATTACTGAGCAATTTGCCGAAATTCTCTAATGATCTCTTCATGGAAGAACGGGTTGTAGTTGGCTCTAGTCTTAAAATTGAGGAAGTTGTATTTAACTAATAAACATTAGAAGTATAAAATCTCTGTGTTGTTTCACAAATCGAAGTGAAAATGCTGATGTAAATCTAATTTCTGAGGGATTCAGAAAATATTCCAGCGAAGAAACTTCTGAAATAGACATGGTCAGAGGACAGTTTATGTAGGTATTTACCAAATTTTAATCTTTTTTTATTACTTCTAATTTGACACTTAGGACTCGTATCAAAGGTGAAAGTAGGTGAAGGCTTTGATATTAACCGGTTTACCTCAGTTGCTGTATCCGTGTGAATCAAGTAGTTGGACTTCTATTTATGAAAGAGGAATGTTCATAACTGAGCATAAATGATGCCCTTCATTTGTTTGTACCCGTTCGCTTTGAACATGTTACATGTGAGTATCAAAGCTCATTAATGGTGGCTGTTATTGGATCTGAACAAACAGCAGTTCTTAAGTACAGTTCAGGGTTAGTGTTCAAGGTAGACATTCCACATCAGATGGGTTACACTTCAAGACTGTAGATTGTCAAGAATTTTGGAGACATTTAGTGATCTTTTTCTAGCTTTCAATAAATTGCAGTGAACATCTCTTCATTCAAGCGCTGGATACTTGATAGCAAAGCAGTTGTAAATGTGCTAGTAAGTCCGTGTTGTAGTCGCTTGTCTTTTTTTGGCCTGCTACGCGTGCCTTTCTATGGCTGCCGCGGCTCGTAATTCCAACACTTGGGTAACTAAGCTGTTTATAACATTAACAATTGGTCAATACATTGACGACACGATAATACCGAAACGATGCAAACGACAAGTCGATGACAGGGATGAATGCCAGCACAACATGATGAGCAACGGGTGACCTTCGAGGAATGTGAACAGCTCTACCATAGGTACGATGGGCAGTATGATGCTCAGGTTAGATATTATATATTTAGTTTTTTATTAGATACAATACCTTGCGTTCTTGTTGAGTAAGCACGAGGTGTTATTTTTGAGAAAACTGAGGAGGACGAAATCCGCCGAAACGTCAGCTTGCTCGTAAATAAAGAAATAAGGTAGAACCTCGTGTCTGCTCAAGAAAAGTAAAAAAAGTGTTTGATCAATGCCGAGGTTAACAGGATGTACGTGGTGATAAAATACGATAGTAATGTGCAGGAAGTTGACATATTAGAAGACACATGTGAGGTTGTAATTACGCTATTTTATAGTAACACTACGATGATCTTACCAAATTAGAAGTATTACGTGTTAGATTACGATAACTTAAGCTTCCAATAACACTACAATGAGATTAACAAAGCAGAATGGGCATGTGATAACTTTAACATATTGGTAATTGTGATTTCTACGGCAGCCCCAGCTTAACTGGGTTCAGTGCCGAAGTGAATTCCTCAGATGTCAGCAGCTGTTCTATGCTGCTTTGGGTTACCTTGGCCACTGATTATGTTGATCAGTAGATTGATTCGCTTGATCCGTAGTTATTTGGTCAACGGAGTCATATAAGCCGTTTCTGATCTAAACAGAATTTGTTGAAGCAAAAAAAGGAGAGAAGAAAAACTATGTTAGAAACCATACCAGCATGTGTAGTATAACTTCGTCACTATGTTTTCATGGATTTGAAGAACAACATAAAGATACCTAAAATGAAATTAACTCTAACAAGGGATTAAAAAAATCTAGAACGATCTCGGCAAATTAAAATTTGAAATATAGGTAGTTATAAACTACCAGATAAACAGACCAACTTCCCACTCACAAGTTCAAATAGTGATATTGGAAGTAAAAAGGACCATATACCTGCATGGAATGCTGTTCAATATTTCCTGATTCGCTCAAATCACTGTCAGCTTCACGGCATTTCTTGATGAAGAAAGTTTTATCTTCCTTTCCTTGAGCACATGAGCTGAAGCATGGGCGGTTTCACCTTCTTGAAAGCCTGGAAGTGTCAAAGTGATATGCAATATACTTATCTATATGGCTTCGTGGACTGCAAGAACTTGATACATAAATTCTGTACATAAATCTTGTTGTTAGCAACATCATGTCTGCATGATATCACACTTTCATTACATTAAGCAATATAGAATATAAAACCATACCATAGTAATAGAACTCGTAGTCAAACTAGGATCGATAGTGTGCCAGAAAGGTCACGGGTCACCATTTTAGGAGTCATCATTCTCCCTGGCGGCGCTTCCTCGCTATTAAAATTGGCCCCAACCTTCTCAGCATCTGAACTCATTTCTAAAGAAACCTTACGGAGGATCGCACGGTTTCTGTACGAGCTTCAATATGAACTCCATAACATAGCTCGCGTTGAAACATTGAACAGGAATGAGCTAGAAGTAGGGCATTACCACCACCTCCTTTTCCTTGTCCGTCCTTTAGAGGGCCAGATTCCAACATGAAGTTGATATTAATTTTTTTCGTTCAACACCTGTCCTTTATAATAGAGCACCGCCGAGTGAGGTTTATTATTCGAGCGGTGGTCACTCCACCGAATTTGACTCGATACGACAACGAACGACTGACGAAACGAAACGAAACGTTAGCAATCGACCGGAAACACTAACAACAACGACGACGAAAACGTATGCCAACCTCCCGTGAGCTCAACAAGATCAGTTTATAAGATCATATAAATAAACTTCCCATAAATATCGAACGTTCTGGACGAGCGTGTAGCGGAATGGTTAGGGGTGCCCTTCAACACACACAGGATCGATGCTGTGCCCCATGCTCACCAAGCCATCCATCCGTCTGGGGAAGGAGGACTAGTACCAGACTTGATTGATAAGATAGCATCATTAGCTCGATACATATGTAGGCCACTATGAGCCACTGTATAAGCCAGATCATAGCCGATCTCTTAGGGATTGATCAACGCCAACAGCTCCATCCTTTTCTTCTATCGAATATTCCCTGCCTTCATGCACTTTCCTCGTATCACCCACATTTCGTCCAGCTTACCGTCAACTGACTCGGAGGCAAGCAAACTTCTCATTTCTTCCTGTCGTCCGTCAGAGGTGGCTAGTAGGTTCTGCTCGGTGTAAGCACTCATTGAGCATAATAATTTCTCCTAGGGTTTCCGTAAACAACTATGACTATCGAATCGGTGGTCTTCCTGTGGTTTATTTGGCATCGCAAGGAATTCTGTCGCTAATGGCACTCTTGTCCAACGGCTGCTGTTCATACGCATTGCAGGTTCAGCTCACATTGCCTTCGAAAATTTAGCGTATTGAATGGCGTACTTGATTATTGACTGTTGGCGTAAGTTGGAGATTCGGATTCTCTCCCCTATACATAATGTAGAATCCTCCTAGCATCATCCTTTCGCCTGGGCGTTCAGTAACGGTGAGTAACCTTTCATCTTACTTACGTAGCGACCAGGCTTCTGATAGATACGTTAGAGTATGAAGAATTTTTGAGTCAAAAATTAAGCACAAAGCTGGGAGCTTTTTGTTCTCCTCACTACACCCCCAATGCTCTTGAAAGCTCCCTAACCCGCTCGCTTTCTCCTGGAAAATTCTGGAACCAAGTTTTACATCACGTTGACTTCCACGATTGGGAGGCAAATCCGTTTTTCGCAAAGACTGACACCATACGATTCAGTAGAAGGCTGATTTTTTGAAGAGCGTTGTCAAAGTCAGTCAGCACACGATCTGCCTCACCCATGCTTGGTGTTAAAAAACGATGTTATCAGTTAAGCAAAGATGGTGTAATTACCGACCATCAATCTTCACTCCCATGTTATCCCATTCCCATGCTTGCACTACGTTCTCGAGATTGGCGGAAAATAATTCTAGCGAGATGATGTCGCTTTGCCTAACCCTTCTTTTAATGTCGATGTTAATAGTATTGGACAATGGTGAAATTTTGGCTGTGGAAACTTTATATAGCTCATGAAGAGTCTTTGTATGCTGAGCAGGGATCCGCCAGGAACCAGTTGTTGAAACACATTCCAGCCCATCTTACGAATACCCAGATGTTTCTGGATCGTCTACGTACTGAGCAGCCCAACGGCGCGTGCGTGATGGAGTCCTTCGACGTTACCGCCCTTTATACAAACGTGTCGAATGACTCCGCAATGCAAGCCATATTCGAGCTCCTTACACAACACGAAGGAGAAATAAACATGTATGGCTCCAGGATAGAGCACCTGATGGCACTCTTAAAAGAATGCTTAAGCTGCTCAATCTTCAGATGGTCTGGAAAGTACTACGCTCCAAATAAGAGGGTTGGCAATGGGGCAACGACTGGCTACAAGCCTTGCCATTGCATTTATGTCTAAGGTGGAAGCACCGGTGACTGCTCTCGGGCCGCTACTCTACTTAGGTATGTAGACGACTGCTTTGTCCTTTGCTCAACACAAGAGGAAATGGACAAATGCTTCGAATTGTTAAACGCACAGTCAGAGTATATCAAGTTCACCCGAGAAAAGCCGAAAGAAAAATGGCTTCCATTTTTGAACGTACAAATTCACCTATCAGAAAATGGCTACATTACAAAGTGGTACCGAAAGCCAAGTAGTAAAAATATCTTGGTTCATTACCTCTCCTCTCACCCCTCTCACACGAAAAGAGCGCTTATAAGAAACATGTTTCGAACAGCAACCAACGTGTGCACAGGAAGAGAGCAGAGAGAGGAGTCCCGGAACTTGGCACGGCAAATAGCCGTTTCTAATGGCTACGAAACTGTAGCTCAGAATAAGTGTAGAGGAAATCGTAGGCCTCCAAACGACAACTCTAGCGATAGAAGGGTGCCGTTTATCTCATATGATATAAGTACAGCTATAAAACGCTGCTTAAAAATGGCGGGCTTAGAGAATTCGGTGAGCGTAGTTGAAATACCACCGAGTAATCTTAAGCGCCAGCTAGTTCGTAACCGCCTATATGACCGTCTATGTGCAACTCAAAATTGCATAATTTGCCCCAGTGGTAGAGACGGTGATTGCATGAGCTCGNCGGGTATAGTTTATTTGATCTCCTGTAAGACGTGTGGTGACGAATACATTGGCGAAACGGGTAGACCCCTCTGTGTCCGCATGAAAGAACACCTATCCGGCAAAAATAGACCAAATACCCCGCTAGGCACGCATAGGACCCAGATACATAACGGGGACGACTTCGAAGTATGTGTCACGATCCTCGCACGCGAATCAAGAACACAGGCGCGAAAAACTCTCGAGGCACTCTGGATTAATTCCAGAAATCCGAAAATGAACCGCAGGGAAGAATGCCTCATTATCACGCGTGATATAGGGCAGTATATAAAACTGCTTTTTTGATGTGAGGGGCACATTATACTTCCACGTGATTTCTGTGCAGTTGGTCTCTACGTGACATACTTAGTGGAAACCTCATAGAAAGCGGTGAGTGTGCAAAGCTGTGTTCAAAGTGATTGAAATCTTGGTTTGGAGTTTCTTTGTTTGGTTATGAAAGCGTCTGGCCGAGTGAGTTGCTATCAACTTGACCTTTCCAGGCTCTGAAGAAGGCGAAATCCGCCGAAACGTCAGCTTAGTCGTGAACAAAGAGTAGTAACACCTCGAGTTTGCTCAACAAAAATACGAAGAAAATCACTTGATCAATGCCGAGGTTAATAGAAAGTCGGTCGTGGCAGTTACTTCCATGAGTGCTTCGATCTAAACTGAGTCAAAAGCTTTCTTCAAACCGATGGAGATGAAACAGCGCAAACTCTTGTACTCTTATGATACTTCAATGGATCTTGTTATCGTTTTTATGTGGTCCATTGTACTGAACACTTTTATAGACTCTGCTTGCTAACATGGATGCCCTTTGTCCAGTGTTGTTTCAGTCCTGTTTAGGATGCCTCGACTGGGAAGTTTGTAGACAGCAGACAGTGAGCAGACTTGGCGGTAGTTGCTGATATCGTGGATATCACCCTTCTTGAGTAGTATCACGGTCTTGCTGGTTTTCCACTGAGTAGGGACTTTGCATACTGAATGGTAACGCGTGAACAGCGGAGCCAATGTGTCGATAAAGACTGGTAGGGAGTTCTTCAGGTGTTCATTCTCCAACAGCCGACTAATGAACTGATTATTTATCAGTTTATGGTGTCTTTGGGACTTCATTTGTTGAATTTATCGGCTTTTTGCCCTTTTCGCGAGGTATGAAACCCCTCACTATGAAAGCAATGGTCTGACCCCATGTAAAGTTTTGAGGAAGCAACGAAATCGGTTAGGCAAAACCTTCGATTTACTGCGCTATGGTCTCTTTCGCTATGGTACTCTTCATTGGGAGACCCTTACGTCCAGCGGTAAGAGTGGGACTTTTGGAGCTGCGAGTTACCATGGGTGATCTTGGTCGCCATGATAAATTCGGACAGCAGCTCACCTTGCTTGTTCCATTCTAATCCATTAGTCCCAATGCGACGTTATTCGGACTTCCTTCCATGTCCAGTCATAACATTACAATCTCCAGTGATGACCTTAAACAATTGTTGAGCATGATTGGTGTATGAGAAACAAATTTAGTGAGCTTGTCCCAGACGTGCCTGGTACCATTTTGTGACCCCAGATGGATGAGACGCTTTGCGGACCAGGAGCGAGGTCGAACAAATTCCTGAGTAGGTTCAAGTCACTGCATAATAAATGGACCTCTACCACTGCGCTACTCGCTCTTAACCACATTAACGACAAGGCTGTTCACAGGAATGAACCACGTACTCTTAGTTCTGTATGGAATTGGAAGAGGATGTATTTATTGTACATCAGTTCTCCTTTCCGAAATTCGACATGCTGTGTCGTCGGTTAAGAACCGTACAACACCTGGCCCGGAGAGGATAAGACCTGAATACGCGAAGAACTTACCTCCACTCCTTATTAACACACTGGCTCTGCTGTTCAAACGACACTTTTCAGAATACAAGTGTTCAACGGAAAGTCGTGTTACTGTTCAAAAAAGGTGAACTCCACAATATCGGCAACTATCGCCCAATCTGCCCGCTGCCTGTCCTAAACAAAATTTTCACTCGAGTTATCCTAAACAGGATTGATAGAACACTGGACGAAGGACAGCCACGTTAGCAAGCTTTTCTGCTCAGTATACAAACTCTTCGTATGCTGTATAAAAAGCGCACAACCAAAGGGCCGCTGTTCTGCAACGGTATTAACATCGACATCAAAAGCGGTTAGGTAACGCGATACCATCTCACCAAAATTACTGCCACCCTCGAGAAAGTTATGCGAACATTGGAATGGGATAATGTGGGTGTGAAAATCGATGGTCGGCAATTACGCCACTTTCGCTTTGCTGATGGCGTCGTCCTTATAACACCAAGCCATTAGCCAAGCGAAACGAATGCTTGCCAACTCCGATAACGCCTCTCGAAAGATCGGTCTCCGACCAAATCTCACAAAAACGTTGTTCATGAGGAACGGATTGTTTTCGTATGCCCCATTTACGCTTAACGGCACGGATACCTTCGAATGATCCCGCTACATCTACCTAGTTCGAGGACCAACATTATGAACGACTAAGCGACTTAGGAATACCTCGTGTCACGAAAGTAAGTGAAGGTTCCGAAACCCCGATCTACGTCAACGATCAAAATAGGAGACGTCGTTCTATATACCAAACTGTCCGAAATAAAGTGCGCCGGACACGTAGTGCGTCTTAAATACAACCGATGGAAGAGAACCGTTAGTGGGTGGATTCCTCGTTGTGTCAAACGGACCGCATTAAAACCACCGGCCCGATGGCAAGAGTTCTTCACGAAAATCCTCGATGAAGGGTATGATGCATAACGAGTCCTTACAGCGAACAGAACCCACTGGCCTATTCTTGCACCTGACAAGGAGAAATGGATGATTTACTGGCGCCCGCTCGAGTCACTGGACAATCGAGCAGATTTCAAAAAGCTTTCTCGACCGCGGCCATATTCCCACGTCGACTTTGTCGGACCGCGTGTCATTGGAGCGCAATGAAAATACGCATTGAAATCAAGATGTACGTTATGAAACGTACAGCAGTAAACATGTTGAAATCAATGCGCATGGTCGTAAAAGGGTTACCAGAGGAGTTCAAACTGATAACGAGTGTAGGGGTCAGATTTTCTGAGGCCGTGGAGTGCACACCTTCTGCCCGACGATTCTAGTGATTAGCCCTTGGATTAGAAGTAATTTTGTCAGAGCTTATTTATAAAATAGAACTATTTAACTTACCTGACTGCAGATATAGCCACTACGTTCTAGTCAGCGTTCGTGAAAAAAACGCGCGCCAAAAATTAATGCGCGTTAGGTGACCGACGGTCATCGCTAACCAATCAATACTGTTTCAGCGGCGCCACATTGCCGTTTTTCGAACAGTATTTTGCCTCTCGGACACTCAGCGATGACCCTGACCATAAGAGAACGAATCGAGATCGTTCTTCTTGCTGGAGATCGACGAAATCACGGCGAAATTGCTGAAGAATTCAGCAAACGACACCCGGATCGTCCGATTTCCCGCGTAACTATTGCCAGTGTCCTCGCTAAATTTAAACAAACCGGTTCTGTTTACCATAAAAGTCATTTGATACGGAGGAGCAAGGACCATCACAAATGTTCTGATCTTCTCGAGAACTTCCGTGGATCTCTTAGGGATTCTGAACGAAAAGCTGGCAGCGATTTGACCGACTCGAGAAGTCCTGTGCATCGAATGATGCAAGCTCCGAAAGGGTGATTCTTTCTTTGTTTTCTTTTATTCTTCGTTCTTCTAGCCAATAGTGGAAGAAACTATAGTTTATGTGATACTAAGTGAGGCACTTCTTTCAGTGTATCTATTTGAGTTTATAACCGAGTCTACCTCTATCTTAACTTAGTGGTATCACTTTAGAGTTTCCTTACTCCTTTATTAGAGCAGTTTCCATTCCAGCTATCGCTATATTCTTCTTGAAGTCGACGAAAGTCGGGTCGACAAGTTGCACGATGTCCTGGTATGGTTTCTACCAAACTGTTGAATTTTCTTGGTGGATTCAACAAATCATGTTCAGATCAGTAATGGATTTCATGACTTCGTTCCCTTGAATAACCTCCCTGATGACTCGGACTTCATGGTGAGGGAGACAATTTTTATTTTTGAAATTGATGTTTGGCTCTTTCTTGTCTGCTAAAATTTGGCTATATGATTCATAACATCGTTTTTTTTCATGATTCTGTTGATCAGAGTAACCCAGTAGAGGAGCTCTTGACGGATGTTAACGGATCCGATCTTCTTCAAACACCTACATCTTCTGGTATGTCTTTTGTTGCCATCTCCATTTCGTTTTCAAAAGGTAATGTGAAAGTATTTATGATAAAATGAACAGTTAATATGTGTAAGAAGTACTATGGATATGCGTAGGCTGTTATACTTGCTCACTTGACACTTGAATGGCCCGCCCTCAGTGGTTGCGTGGGGCCCAGTATAATCTCCATTTTTTCGGAGTTTTGCTGGTTTAGCCATTGTGGTTCTCTGGAGTGCCGAGGTCAGCCAGGTTAAAGTCTGCTCCAGGTCGTCACCACCCGTCATGCGACTGGTTTGATATTAGGACAGTGGTGGATACTGATTCTGGTATTGATTTACTTTTAGCTGGGCTTCCTAATGGAAGCGCCGGATTCGTTCTCAGCTTGGGAGGCCCTGCGGGGGGATCCTTCTGCTGTTCATCGCAGCCCAATACCGAAGGACACCTCCCACCCACGATGAGGCGGTAAACCGTTTGGAGGAGTGTTGAGTATAAACTTTTAAAACTGCTGGTTTTTTTAGGTTTACCGTCTTCACCTCTGTTCACTGTTACGAAACAAGATCCGGAAGAAGAACCATTCTTCAAAGTGCTCTCAGCTACCGATTTGCTGGGAACAAATGATGTTGAGGCTGACAAAGATTGGTCTTCTTCTGGCCTCGGTACCTCAGAAGGATTTTCGCAGAATTGTTGGTTCACTAACGTTTATATCGTTTCTTCATAGTGGTGCCATATTTTACCACTGTGAAGATTGCTCTTCTATTTATTTATTTAAGACTCCATATTATCTGATGGAGTAGGAGGAAGATAAGGCGTAGTAGATCTGTGTAGACTTCCAATAAGCACGTGTTGTGTGCATCGTTTCATAGTTTTCGTTTTCAGGGTCGAGAAAGGTTTTCGGAAAGAACTACTCATCTGGACCATTTCACTCCATTCCAGAAAGTAGCCTTGACGGGCCTAAATCGGAACTGGGTACAGGACGTATTTCTGTCTACGAACTGTTTTTTTGTCATTTTTTGTAGAACACTGTTACAGACTTTCGTGCAGTTAATGGAGAACAAGGCGAAAAGAGTTACGTGAATTGTCGACTTTGTAAGAGTATGATCCTGACATCGAGGTAGGTCGTTCAATTCAGTTAGTGGATTTTTGATGAATCCATTTTGCAAATCCAATTGCTTATTTTTTCTTCTCTGTTTAGGTTCTCCAATCTTGCAAATCACGCTCGTAGACATGCAGTAGTGAAGAAGTACAGATGTGTACACTGCTGTGTTCAGAATAATGAGTATTCTAGGGTGGGTGAAGTTGTTAATGCAAAGTCTGTAAGTTATACTGTTGTAACCAGAGAATTTTTTCGTGGCCAATCTAGACGCAAACTATAAACTGGCGCATTAGAAATCCTTGAAAACAGTCATTTTGTTGCATTCATTCTCTTTCTTGGAATTCTATGAGAAACCAGTATGTGTGTGCTCCGTTCCGACTTTGTCATCTCCATTTCTGTGTCGTCCTTAATCTAGCTATCATTAAAGTGTTGTTTCCTCTTTCATTGTGAGCAGTAGTTATTGGTGAGAAGTTATGTATCACAAAAACTGTATAGAGCGTAAACATACGATTTCGCCTACGCATAGTGATGATGGCTCTCGGACTGTGTCAATTTTTCTCACACTTTGGATCCTTTCTACTACTGGGATAAAAAGTATAGTTAGAATGTATTTCTAATGCGTAGTCTATAAGTTAGAGTTTCTAGAATTGAGACAAAATTAGTTGCAACAGTTGCTGAAATTATGATGTCAGCATTCATTTATTAATCGGTATATTACTGTAAAGATGTTTGTAGATTCGTATGCATATGGCCACTATTCATCGAGACAGCAATTCATATCCAGTTGACAACGGGTCTCCGGAAACTCAAAGAATATGGGACTTTCTGCTGGAAAAGTGTTTCCCTTCTCACTTAACTATAAATTCAGAGGGCAAGGTATCTTTCTTTTTAGAGTATTTCTCTTTCGTTTTTATTTTCACCATGTTTTAACAAAGAAGCTCAACACGTTTTATACCGTGTTCCTTAGAGTGTACAGTTTTGAAGCGGAAGTGCTATAAATAACCTGATCTTAATGAATTTATTTCTAACAGTTATTGCTGCAATTGGTTAGTCGTCCATCCAATATAAGGAGTACGACATTTACGAACGGAAATCTAGCCAGGAGTATGTCATATGCGCATATGTCGTGGATCGCCATTGCCTTAGAAGAAACAGAATCGCAGGATAGCAAGCTCTCAATGAGCAATATGTACCTGCGACTCCCTGTTGTGTTTACCTGAGAACGCCATTTTACGACTATCTAGGGAATGCAGCGAAAAAAAGATCTTGAAAAATATTGGTCTAATGAAAGTTGTGTTGAGATCCGCACAATTTAAGACCTAAAAGGATAGAGTCTCTGCGTTGATCAATCCCTGAAGGATGCGCCATGCGTTTAGGACTTCGTTATCCAAATATGCAGATGTGGCTTTGAGAACGAGAAATAGTGTAACAAAGTTTTAAAGAGAATTGAATTTCATGTTTCGAAAGTGGTTGTGGAGGGCAATGATGGGAAGACTAATTCGAGCTCGGACTGTGGTATTTTTGTTTGTCCCATATGCGGCTTTTGGACCAGTGATCAGGTAGAGCAATTCTTTATCTAGACACTAACAGATTTCACGCCAAGGGTTTTTGTGATGACTAATTAAGAAGACACAAATCATGCAGCCATAATAACTGTGCTGAGACCACTGTAACCCTTATGGCATGGTTTTAGAAATATGTTAATTGATGTACGTGGTATCCTTATTTTAGAGGGAGGTTCATTTTCACCTATCTGAATGTCATACGGAAGTAGATCCTACTACATGCCTCATAACTGAATGCCGGTCACCAAATTCTTATGGAGATTTATCGTTGTTATCCCAAGGTTGTTGAGATAATATTTGAGATCAGGTTACGTTATTTAATTTATAATTTGTTTCAGAGCAAAGTATTTCTACGGATATTAAGTCTGAAAGTTGGGTAACAGAAAATCATATGCAGTCATCGTCAAATGCAGCCCACAATTATGATGGAGAGAGTACATCTGAACAAATTTTGGAGATTACAGCAGATAACGAAGAGAACAAGGATTTGGATTCAGTGCTATGTCATGTAAGCTAGTGAGATTTTTTTTTTTAAAAAAGACGATCTATCTCAGTTAGCGACTCAGAAAAGATGCGTGCATGATTCTTTTTACCCAGGGGGATTTCCCTTACTCTAGTGTGAGAAGTTTTCGTGAATTTTTGCAACATGAAGCGGAAGGAAGGAATCACTAGCCTTGCTTAAGAGTCTTCTTAATGTAACCACTTTTTACTTACTGCCTATTTTTTTCTCATGGTGAGGTATGATGTGAAATGCAACTACAATGATACTGAGATCTCTGTAGCTCAGAGTTCTGCAAATATCTTAGCATTGTTAACGTTTTATTTCTGCGTACTATAATTTTCCACGGCACGTTATGATGTGAATTACAACCACAACGATACTGAGGTTTTCGAGAAACTTAGACCCCGGTCCTGGCCAAACCACTATTTCCCTTTTTCGGAGTTGGCGCATTACACACTGCGCCACCGAGGCCCTTGTTCTGCGTTTTTCTCAACTAGTTTTCTACCTAACGCTTCGATCAGCAGTCACCCGTCAGAGGGATTGATCTAGAGAGCGCAAATTGGAATTGAACCCAGTTAAGCTGAGGCTATAGTCGAATCTCGAAGTAAGATATGCAAATGTATGCTTATTTTACTTTAGTAATTCCGCAGTCCAAATTCCGGAAAGGTAGTCACTCTTTTTTTTACACTAAATGACATCTTCGATAAATTTCAGCTATGCAATCAATCTGTTGTGTTGGCGAAGTTGACAGATGTGGTTGATCACGCGAAGGAGCATTACCATGTAAAGCAATTCGAATGCGAGCTCTGTGGTTTTGGTAATAATGAAAGACTTCGAGTTAGAAGTCATGCATTCCATCAACATCTGTACGAACGCCCTCGTATAATAGAGCACAAGTAAATCCAGTTTTTCTCTTCCTTTGAATCCTTCCCCGTCTATTGATTTTCTCGCCATTCAGTGACGAAAATATGAAGAAGGTATGGACACAGATAGCCCGAATATGTTTTCCCAGTCTTCCTGAACGATTGATGAAAGAGAAGGTGAGCGGTCGCTTTAAGGGTACATGCTTGTCCTTTTTAATTCCAAAGGATAGTTAATCGCTCTTTTCAGCTAAAATATTTGCGATCTCTTCCAACGTCCAGAGTCCCTTCTCAAACCACAGCATTAGAAGCCTCCAAGAGTGGATATAGATTTTAGGTTACGCTATGTTTATTGAGAAGCTGGTAGACTTGAAACTTTGCTCACAATTTCACGGTCATCTGCTTCTTAACAAGAGTTCTATAATTGTTCTTCACATTACCGAAACAATTATTATGCGCCCACGATAGAGCAGTTGTTTCATCTGATCTCAGAACTTCACCAGTGCTTGTGAATTTTTCCCATATCGTTTGTGCATTGTTCGTATTCCTAAAAGTAGAAGATCTTAGAGGCCACTTCCTCATATACTCTTCTTCTACTGTTCTTGTTCGTGGATCTCTTCCTGTTTGGATCGTTGAGGTATTGAGTAAAATTTATTGACAACTATTGTGCACTGCGGCACTCCTTAAGGTAAATTGTCCATTACTTTTGGTAGTGGTCGTTCGTAATGAAGCAGTTTAACGCTGTAGTTGTAGAGCTAATGTAATTTAAGGGAAGAAGTTCGTTTTTGGCTGTGGTAATGAGGACGGATTATGATAGGTGTCGAATCAAGAAGTGGGGGTGCTCATTTTTTCGTTTCTCATGTATCCGCGTTACGTACATGAGGCTCCATTTAAAAAATTGGTGGATAAAGCTCTCGCCATTGATTACTCCCTGAGAGATGTACCATGAATTGGACTTCGTCAAGCATCTTTGAAGGAGACCGCATGGTTACCTGGCTTGAAGATTGATTTACGGTGGCCATCCTATGTATGAAATCAGTGCTGCTATCTTTCCAGATAAGTATCACCTTGGATCGAACCAAAATACCACGTTTACATTGCAGGACACTTCCAGCCACAGCGGTACACGTAGCCTGAAATTCAATGCGATGGGTAAGATGTGAGCGATCGCCGTCAGCCCAGCACAGTTCTGACAACCATCATAACGACGGCGACAGGGATACAATAGAAGGCATGGTAGTTTCATAGTATAGACTTATTAATAGATCATGTTATTGTGTTATCGTACAACGTTGCACTCGAAAATAACGGCGAGATGGAGATAGTGGTATGTAGCAGTATTTGTGTCATGTTTACTATAGAATCTTAGCTGTATTTCTCTTTCATTTCGCTAGCGATTAACTGGGAAGTCTTTCCTTAGATTAGGTTAGATTTGGGCTGAGCCAATAGAAGCGGTACCTATACAGAGGAGGAGTTCGACGACGTTATCAAAGGCGTTAGCTGTCAACACAGAGCTTCTTACTTAGGTTAGTTATAGCACTTGCCTTTATAGTTAAGTATCCACTCCCTAGCACACCAGTCTGTACTTGTGCCATTCTTGCTAAAGGGTTAAGATAAACGACCTAATTCCTCTGAATCTGAATCCGAGTTTACAGTGCACATCCTATGACATCGAATGCTTTTATTGAGAGTGCGGTAATGAAATTAAGGTCAAAAAGTGTAACCTCATCGGAACCACCGAGACGGAAAGGCAATGCTGCCTGTGAAAGGCACTTATTCCACGGAAGTAGACACGAGTTGCACGTAAGCGTTCATGTTTTTTGAATCAATAGTGAGCCGACACAGATTTTTGCAATAGTACCTCAGGTTAGTACTCTATGATGGTCTTTGACTTGTGTACCTCTATATCGAGGCGAGACAGCGACGAAATGGCCGAATTTTATGCTGAACATGGAAAAGTTTTGCAGAAAAGATCACATAAGTAAGGTCATCACCGTTTTATGGCGCCAAAATGAGCATTCGAAGAATGTTTGAAGTTCATCATACCGAGACTCATTAAGTCGAATGGAACGGGTAGGTCGGTAGGTTGTCTGAGCTCATCATTAAGCGACAAACGAAACCAACCGTAGAAAACACCGATTTAGGAAAAGCTCACGTTAACGTGTGAAGTGGTAGCACCCCAGAAACTGCAGTACTTGTGAAGAAGATATACAAAGTAAATGAGGGTCATATACGAAGAAGAACATAGTAGAATGATCACGGTCCCAGATAAGTCTAGTGGTCATTAGTTCCCTGTTATTTGTCGACAGAGAAAGACTGACTGCTTGGTAAGAAGAGTGTGCCTACAGAACGACTCATGATGAATGAACCTTGTCTCCGATGAATGGTAGTATTTGTACCATAGTTTATGAAGATGAAGCGAAGAGATATGATTGGACGATACTGCCATTAGCAAATTTACGAAAGTATGCGTTGGCTTCGATGTATATGTAGGAGGGAGAAGCGGGCGAAATGGATAGTACAAATTGACACCAGCTTTATGAAACGAATCCGATCTCTAACACATGTATACCATGCATCTTTCAGTTAACGCTATCTATATTTTTGGCATCAAATTTATAACAAGAAGCTTTCGGAATAACTTTGTTCGTCTACATGAGTCTCATAGGAGTTAGTTGTTTTCTGTATCAAAAACATTCCGGTTACTTCCTGCAATGGCGACCTGTTAGTGCCCTGACGTGGGTTTTCCCAATTACAGGGGAAGAATCTGGCCAAGACAACAAGCCACCCAGTTATGTAGGAGACGTTTTGGGTTTCAAACGATTATTCATCAAAAAGGTTCATTCGATAATCAAGTGTACAGCAGATCGGATATTCGGATCTATAGATCGGATATCTACGAAATTCTTATTTAGTGAGCTGTTAGCTATAAGCTCTCTGAGCAAAGAAATTTGAGCTACAGAATTCAGTTGTATTAAGACTTGTATTTGTATAATACGAGAGTTATTTCTGGTAACTTTATTCTCTTCCGTAAGTGTAAACCTATTTAGATGTGTGGCTTTCGTTGTTCAGAACACCATGTTTCAGGCGATGTGGGGAATTCGCTCGGTTTTTGACGAGATCTTCATATGCGGAGATAATTTCGAAATTTCCTTTCCATTCCTACAGACCAGGATTAAAGTTAGCGTTCCTGATCACATTCTGGACGTATGTTCTACCCATAATTTTGTGGCAGTAGTGACCAAGGAGGAGATTTTTATCGCACATAAGGACAAACTTCAAGTGAGTACACGGTTCGCGTTAATCTCTAGACTATTTTCGGCTTATGTAAGTCTACGGTATGTATAGTAGGACGTTTTGTATAATTTACAGCTTAATACCCACTAGTGTTTAAACTGTTTGGCCTACCCGAGATTGTTATAAACTTTTATTGGGTTAACGTCTCGACTATCGTCTAAGCGACGAAGGATGGAGAAATGAAGCTAGGTCGGACTGAAACAGAAATGGGCATCGACTTCAATCATTGGCTCTGAGGAAAAGGAAGACGTCGAAACGTCAACTGAATAAAAGTCGTGCAACAACGTCCTGTGAGCTCAATGCTTTAAACACATGTCGATCAGTCATGCTGAGGTTGAAGGAAAATCGGTTTTGAAATGTTGGTATTGACTCTAAGTTTTGTCAGGTAAACGTGGAAACGAATTGATTGAGTCTATTTACCTTTCTGAACTGTAGAAGACTATATCCTTGCATTTTTCATCCTTAAGTTATTGGTTTTTTACTGTTCAATGCACAATTGGTTTTATAAAAAATGAAATCTCAGTCTGGTCTGAAATACGAAATTTCATGTCTTTTTTAAGCAGGATTTTCTTATTTACTTACTTATTCATTTGTTTGCTTAGTTATCTGTTCAGGATCCTCTAAAATGCAGTTATAAAAAAGAAGATACGTTAAATCTGGAATTCGAGTCTTCTTCTTGGCCGTCAGTGGTGGTCCCGTTCACTCAAAGTACTCTACTTAATGACTGGTGTAAAGAGAAGAAACCAGCATCGGATGTCCTACTCACGGCAACTAGTTCGACAGTATACCTAATTTGTAATATTAAGGGCTCAAGTATGGTAGTGAGGTTAGTCTATCGCATTTCTTGAAATATTACTCAGTGTAAAGTGAACCGACAATCATTTTATTCTTTACCAACAATTCCATAGTGTTTGTTTGAAAGATTACTTTAATTTTGACAAAAGTGTCATTGTCAAAGAAGTTGTTCTTATCTGTTGTGTATCCTGTTGCTTTTAGGTTATTCAACGAAAATACATATTTATCAAGTGGTGTCGTGAAACCATGCGTTGTTCAACAACCAAAGAGTTTGGTGATTGTGATGGTAGATTTTTACAAAGTTGAAAATCTGTTCATGAAGGCAACCACGTGGGGTTTTGCATAGCTGACGTTATGGTACACAGTATAGCTGTTAGAAATATGTTAATAAAAGGATAAATCTTTCGGTGTTGATCAATTCCTGAGGGAAGCGCCATGCATTTGACTTCATTAAGTATCGTTGGAGGTGATTTAATGCATATCTGGCCTTTACAGTAACTCGCAGTGGCCTGCCGATATATCAAGCCAGTTCTGCTATTCTCCCGGACAACTCCGATACCAGTTTGCCGACCCCGGAGGGATGGAGAGCTTGGTGAGCTTGGGGCGCAGGAATCGATCTCATGTCTATTGCAAAGCGCCTCCGACCACTGTGCTACATGCATGGCATTAGAAACCTGTTACAAAACATCTGTTGTGAGCGGCAGAGGTTTTAGTAGCCATACAAAGCGTTTTTGCTCTTTCATAGTGGAATTGATTTTCAACTAGGGTACGACGCTATTATTAGATAGTCGAGTAAGTCCATGTAAGTGGTAGATTATTCTGGGAGTGCTCCTGGCGTGGTTGTCCACCACATTTCTGTTGCCATGATGAAGTTCAGATCTCGAAAAATTTTCATTGTTAATAAAGATTTTTCAGGTAGCTTCAGGTTATGATCACAGCATATTCTTGACGAACAAAGGTGCCGTATACGCGCTAGGAACGGGAAGGTACGAGTTTTTTTTCTTTTGAGAGTTCGAGGTCCAGTTTTTATCATTATTTCTGTCATCTCTATTAATACATGACAGAATCAATTAAATAATTCTACTATATATGAGTTATACTAGTTTTACTTTGGTGAATATGATCGGTAGTTTGCTGCTTTTATCAAGGGAATAAAATAGGTTTTAACCTGAGTTGGTCTAATCGTAACGACAGTTGATCAGTAGAGTTTGCGGGGATTCGGTAAATACTTTGCTTGGTTCACTCTTCTTAGCGAATTCCTCAGTAAACCTTCCTTGGTTAAGTTACGCATATGGAGTCGGTTTAACTGTGCGATAAACGCTAGGTATGTTTAGTGTTAGTTTTTCGAGTTTATCCGGGCCAATGAGTGATAAATTTGAATTGTGTGTTAATATTGTTATATTTGAAGGAATAGGGAATGAAGAAGTGCAGTGGTTAGAGATACCGTGCAATGCGTATACTAAACCTTGATTTAACCAATCATCGGGCAATCGAGCATCCCAAGGTTCGGAAAATTGTCACCAGGATTTCCCAGGAATATCTTCCTTCGTCACATAAAAACTTGTGATCTCCTGTAAGGAAGACCTGAGAACGCCCAACCACAGCTTTCCTAAATTCGTAAGAGAATCTATTCACCTAACATTCAATGATATTTGTAAAGGAAGCTAAATTCCTCATGCAGAAGCGGGACCCACATGTAAATTCGACTATCTTCGTGAGCGATTGATGCAAGGAAATAATCGAGTGAAAGAAGTGCTAGGATCTGCACCATATATGATGACGCATTATATGAATGAATAAAGATACTGGAAGTGTGGATATGATTGAAACAGGGAACGTCAACCACGGAGTCTTTAGTCTACGTTGATCCACTATCTGCTCCCTAACGTGTGTTTCTACTAAAGGTGAGATTTGTGGGACCTCAATCTTTGCCACACTGAAAGTATTCTTTGCCAGCTATCTGAATTATTGCGACTTCACTATTTAAATACTTATTTCAGTCGTGGGGAGCTAGGAGTAGGCTTGGTACCACGTGTTTATGAGCTCACATGGTTGGAAGCTCTGGAAGGACTGAACGTAATGGCTGTAGCTGCTGCTGGATGGCATAGCGCTGCTCTTACAGGTATATAAACATGGTAATAATAAAATAAAAGATAAAGCTCTTGGCGTTGACCAATCCTTGGCGGATGCGCCATGCATTCGACTTCATTAAGCATCCTAGGAGGTGATTGATGTATATATGATCTTTAAAATGACTCGCGGTGGCTTATAGATGTATGGAGCCAGTGCTGCTATCCTCCCAGACAAGTCTGGTACCAATTTACTGGCCCCGGAGGGATGGAAGGCTTGGTGTGCCTGTTGCGTGGGGATCAATCCCATGTGTATTTTGCAGGGCGTCTTTGAGCTCTGTGCTACATGCGCCTAAGACAAGGAAACGGTGTGGGGAATATGTGGCTCACACTTATTCAATGTCTGTTTCCTAATCATCTTCGCCATTCGTGGATTGATGCTATGCAGTTACTATGTTACTATGCTATGTTACGTTACTACTTACTAAGTGGCCATAAGCTTGCTAGAATCCCCATACTAAAGGGAAAAACTTTCTCCATATGACTTTTTTGTTAAAAAAAACTGACAGGTACTTAAGCTCTATTTCAGTTCAGCTATGGCGGTTTTAATGTGTTATGCTTGTTTACAGATGATGGAGATGTATATTTATGGGGATGGAATCATCGCGGTCAACTTGGAGATGAAAAAGTTAGTAGGAGCAGTACTAAGACTATAGATTATCCAAAAATATGTTGAAAAGTTCACTAACTTCCAGGAGAAAGTTGAATTCTACCCATCACCACTGGACATTCATCTTCGAATAGTAAGAATAACACTCCGTGAACACTTCACTGCACTATGGGTAGCTGAAGGTTGGATGGATGATTCCTATAGTGATTACTCGATTACTTTATTACTTAGGAATAGAAAATCGTACAGCATTTACTTGTATGCAAACGAAGATACTGTTTGGTCTCCATCGATGGTCACCCACGTATTGTGGTTATTATTTTACGTTCCTCACAACGATTTACCGCCTGGGAGGTGTTTCTGGGTGTCGGGTTGCGATGTACTGCGATGGATTCATCCCCCAGCAGGGTTTCCTAGGCTGAGAAAGAGTTCGGAGTTTCCATCAGGAAGCCTAGCTAAGAGGAAACCAATACTGGGATCCCATCATTGTCCCGATTTCAAACTAGTCGCACGGTGGCAAATTTCCCTCTGATCCACAACGGCCGACGACTGTCTGTGGTGGTGAGGACCTGTGGCAGACTTTGGTTAAGCTGACTTTGGGACTCCATGGAATTACGATGGCTAAGCTAGCAAAAGTCCGAAAAAGTGGTTATGCTGAGGGTCGCGCAACTAGTGAGCACGGGTCATCCATTTATTCAAAGAAGTTTTACGTTATCAGTCGTTCTCCTATGATTCACCAAGTGATTTAAACCAGAAACAGTTGCGAAAGTCCAGGTGACGTGAAAGGGTGACATCAGTAGTTGTTTCCACCCTAACAGATAAAAACCATGATCTGTGTCTACGCTTTTCACCTATTCACCAGTAATGTTGGGATATTCGGTGGCAATGATATAACCACTATTAATGACTAGTACGAAGACCTCATTTTTAATTAATTAATTAACCATTTAGCCAACTATTTGGTGCTATTCTATTGTATTTTTTTGTTAAACACTTTCTCTTTGAGACGAAGATGAACCATCAATTATCATGGGATCAAAGAAGATTGGGATGCCTGCAACCCAGCTGACGTACTTTTCCGGCAGTACTGCTTCGGAACCTGGAACGCCATCGCTATCTAGTGATTGTCGGGAAGAAGCGGTGATTTTAGGTGAATATCGAGAATGAGATCTATATGCAGTTCATTTAAACTGTATGAGGTGTAGAAAAGCATTCCCATGGCGTGTTTAAATTCAGTACAGCGGACCGGTTATTTTTTGCTATTAACGATAACATAAACAACATTTTACTCACTGACAACCGAGATATATCATAAACGACGGGATTCTCATTAGTATGATCGCATGAGTAATTTGCCCTACAAGCAATCGACATTTGACCCTACCCTCTCTCAGTCGACCAGTGTCACACAGCAAATAAATACGTAACTCTATTTGGCTCACTGTTCCACTTGGCCCAAAATTTTTTCCTTCCACTTTGGTACGCGCCACGTTGTATAATGAATAACAGCCCAAAGTACCTCATATGAAGGGGATCCGATCAAGCCATATACGAATCCCAGAGTTTTCCTAGCTATTTAGATGTGGTCATCAGCGACGAAATCAATGGTGACTATAGAGCTTTGTCTCATCAGTATATAAATGTGCTAACTCCATTGATTTTCTTCTTCTCTGTTGTCGCGTTTATGTATGTTTAAATTGTTAATAAAATGATGATATTGATTTATGTCAAGCAATAATTCGGCTATTTACAGAAAGCAGTAAGTGAGAAATCATTTAAAAACATCCAAACAGAGCGGAACAAGGTATTCACTGTTATAAATTAATGAAAATAAGCGCGACGTCGTCAACTTACAAACAGTTGTTGTGAAAAGATGAACTGTGTACGAATAAGAAACCAAATAATAGCCACAAACTCTTCAGGACTAAATGAGAGATGTATAATTTGCATGGAGGAGACGGATAACGTAATCACGCTAGTGAAAAATGATGACTTCAATTTAAGTTGCAGATAATAAACGAGCTATAAGTTCTGAAGATTAGAGCTCCTATTCAAATAAGCGACATAGAATTCCAACCATAACAATTATTGTAATTGGTCCCGTACTTATAAGTTCTACTCTTCATGAAAATCTATCTTCCTCACAATCTTCTTCATTTCTTCTTTGGCTTGCTTGCTCTCAAACATGCAAGCTAGATGTTCCTTAAGGATGTGAAATTAATGTGAATATACGAATCAGCATTCCTGTATTTTAATCTCCTAACATTGAAAACACTACAAACCTGCTAGTTAATGGTAGCAATTGTTCAGAAGCCGCGAAACGAAACCTAGGACACTCACTAGATGAAAGATATCACGAAAGGGTGGGAACACTAGATTCAATGGGACTTCGCTTGAGAGTAAGTCTTAATTGATAACATCCGTCCCGTTCTTAAGACGCTGACGACCACATGAATGTGCCGTGTCATGATTGAGGAAATCGGACTTATTCAATCGCTGTGGTGTTCTAAGATCCGAACAGCAAAGGTTCCGTGGAATCTTGAAGCCTAGTCTGTGGTCTTCATTAAATGACTAGTCTCATGTAGAACAGATATCCAGATTCTAAAGGGTTTTGCGTAACGGACATGGCGTGAGATGAGAGATCCGTGTTCAACGTGAAAATTCGGACTATTTTGCCTCATACATCTATATAGATGTCAATGAGTTAAGGTTTCTGTTTATAAGAAATGCGAAGTGAAAACAAACCTCGATAGATATCTCCCTGATAAGCAACTTTCTTAGTTTAAGTACCACCGATCCTGCAACTTTACTTGACAGTGTGCCCTCGGTTTGCTCGTCGTCCTGCCACACACTAAAATTGCTGGCGCAGTGTTCCAGTTTTTTCAGTGGCACCTGAAATTACCCATAGTGAATGAAGAACGAAGTATTTTCTGGGGCTTTTCGTTAGTACTCTGACTACCGCTCTATTAATCGGAAATTTTCCGAACGTCCACACGCTTACAGTTTAACCTGTAAGACTAAATTTCCAAGACTGACTTTCTATTAACCTCGTCATTCATCGACAATTCACTGTTTTCTTAACAAGCACACACGACGTTGTTACCATACTACTTATTTACCCACAAAGTCTGGTATTTGGGCGGATTTCGCCATTTTCAGAGCCTTGAAAAGTCAAATTAAGCGCAACCTAGCCAGCCAAACACCATAACCTGAACAGAAAAACTACGATATTCAGGTTTCAATTGAATTAGAAACAAAACAGCTTCTTCATTGATCCACCACATTCCATGTATAGTCCATGAAGTATTTCAAGTGGAGATTAACTGTACAGAGTTCACATGGATGGATAATGCACCTCTCTCACGTTAAAATATCTGACTGAGATATTGTGTGAGATCTTGCAATATTGTGATACTGGTAACAAGGCATTGCTCCTTGCGGTTCATTTTTGGACTACTGGAAGTTATCCAGAATGCTTCGAGGGTTTTGTGCACTTAAAATTTAGAACCTTGTGTGAAGATGGTCACTTCTAATTTAAAATCTTCTTCGTTATGTCTTTGTCTCCTACTTACCTAGTGGAATATTAGTATTCGCTTACCTAGTACTTCATTTTATGCTTACCGAATAGGCGTTCTTTTATACGGACACAGAGTGATCTACTCGTTTTGCCAATATATTCGTCTCCGCACCCTCTACAAGGGATCAGACAAACTGTACCTGAACTCATGCAATCACCGTTGCGGCCACTGAAAATCGTTATTTGCCACGTCAAAATGAGTGCTTACTCCGTTCGTTCTGCTGCGTTGCACATGCTGGTGGTTGTTCGAAACACGTTTTCCACAAGCGTCCCTTTCATGTGTGAGAGGTGAGAATAGAAGTAACGAACCAATATGTTCCTGCTACATGGCTTTAGATAGCATTTCATAACGTAGCCGTTTCAGGGTTTCGGGAATGTTCAAAAACACAACCCAATTTTACTCGGTTTCTTTGGGTAAATTTAGTGTACTTTGGTTCGGCAACTCAAAACAATTTTTCACCTTCCCTTCTATGGAATAGATGTCAAAAAAGTCACCTATATATTTACAACAATGGTCGGAGATCGATTACTGGAGCTTCTATTTCAGATATAAATGCAATCGTAACACTTGGTGCGAGTCTCTATTCCATTGCCAACCCTCTAATATGTGCAAAACATTTCCAGCCGATAGGCTTCCAAGCCATCCAAAGATTTAGCAGTTCAGGCACTCCTTTATGAGGGCCATGAGCTGCTGAATCGACAAGCCATTCATGTTTACTGTTCATTCTTACTGCATAAGGAGTTCGAAGATAGATTGCATAGCCGGCTCATTCGATACGTTTAAAGCGCAGTAACCACGACGGACAATGCTGCATACGCACTTGTAGGATGCGCTTTACGTAGGCGATCCAAGAACACATGCGTGTTTATGAGATGGGCTAAAATGTATTTCAACAACTAGGTAAGTATTAGGGCTGAAAAACATAAAACCCTCGAGGCGTTCTGGATCAGTTCAGTGATGGTGATGCCGATCATCATGAACACGGTGCTGGTTCGATACCGTTCCGAGGTCATCAAGCTTCCCATTCCTCCTAGTTTCGGAAATCGGTACCTGACTTGTCTGGGAAAAGTTCACTCTCTGCAATCCAGATGGAAACGCTCTAACCCGCCTCTCCAAGGGCACCAGAGAAAATTGACTCGGCCAGCATTCAATTCACGGTGGAAGGAAAACTCTTAAGCAGCAGTCGAAGCTTCAAGTAAAAAGTTGGAAGACCTTTGTGGATGATGGATTCTAGGAAACGAATCGAATGTCAGAAGTGCTGGGATTCGCATGGTGGATGTGAAAGACGGGTCGTGTAAAAAAAACAGTAACAACCTAGTTCCTGCTTATCAAGAACGCCAGTGAATCATTAAGAGGCTAAAGTCACCTTGCTCGCTTTCCATTTCTCTGTATCATGATCATTGAGTGAGAATCGCTCTATATGATTATCCATCTCGAAAATATCTTCAAGGTTCCTATAAGCACCGTCTCCATGGTCTTCAAATACCTGAAAAAATCAAGTTAAAGGTTGTCAGCCTGTCGGACAACATACTCCATGTTATTACGTACTTGGAAAGCATTCACTTGATTTGTTTTAGACTTTTGATCACGTTGTCCCCTATCCAGCTTACTGCTACCTTGTTCGCCAACAATGCATGGCAGTCGAATAACTGGCGCCGCAGAGGAGTCTTCCATTGCTGAAAGACATATGGTAAAGGATAAAATCAGCGCAAACAGGTTGAAAAGTACCTCCACCTTTATAGCAAAAATCCAAAAGTAGTACTGCTTAATCTAGATGTAATAATAAAAACCCAGAAACACTAAACTGCCGAGAAGGAACACTTGGGGAACAAAAACATCTATTGATGTCAAACACACAAAGAAAGAGAACAAATATTTGTTGCGAAAGGCAAAATCCGCCGAAACGTCAGCTTGTACGTAAATAAAGAAATAAAATAACAACTCGTGTTTGCTAAACAGAAGTAGGAAGAATTATTCAATCAATGCCGAGGTTAATAGAAAGTCGGACGAGGAAGTTACTACAAATATTTGTATTAAACTGATGGTTTAGGTGAGAGGGAACTGAGCAACGGTGGTCAGCAAACACTGTATATAAAACTGCGCTGCGAATAAATTGGAAGAAAGCTCAGCCTATGAAAAATGAAGGAAGGAAGCGCATATAGTGGTTGGTAATGCATTCAACAAAACAAGGTGCTAGTTCGACCTCCTCCCTAGTGCTCTCCTCCAATCCAGCTGGGAACACCTCAACTTGGTTACCTCCAGGATTGCAAGGAGAATCAACTCGATCACCATTCTACGACATTCAAAGACGAAATCCTCAAAGCAGCAGGTGAAACAGCATGCGAAACGTTTGAAGACCTCTGTAGACGATGAATGCGAGATCAACAAATTGGATGGAAGAAGTGCTGGAACTCGCACACTAAATGTGACGCTACGCATCATTTTAAAAAATAAAATTTATTTGTCGGAAAAGCCTTCCTGAAATTGTGGTTGGATTGCATGATAGCCGCTAGTGAATAAAAACAACGTGTTAACAACTAAGTGTAAGAAGGTGATAATGCCTACGGACAGTCTTAGCAAACGTTTTAGACCTTCGAACCAACCAATTTTCCATTGCCTGTAGGATGATAGAATAGGAAACTTGTGTGAAAAATAAAACGGACTCATACTTTGTGTGGCCATGTAAATCATGGCACAAAAAGTTATATTCATATAAATTTCACGCCTCGGAAAATATATAAACGTGATACAAATACTTCTCCCAACACAATTTACCGTCTCATTGAGGCTGGGAGATCCTGGGTGTCGTGTTGCGATGTACAACAGAGGGATCCGTCCTCCAGCAGGGTCTCCCAAGCTGAGAAGTCTGGCGTTTCCACAAAGAAGCCCAAGAAGCCCGGCTAGGATTAAACCAATACCAGGAACCACCACCGTCCTGGTATTAAACTAGTCGCATGGTGGCAAATCTCTCTTTGATCCACGAGAGCGGCGACTGCCTGTGGTGGTGACAACCTGGGTAGACTTTGGCCAGGGTGACCGCGATACTCCAGGAAACCACAGCGGCTAAACAAGCAAAACCGCGGAAAAGTGGAAATAATGCTGGGGTCCGTACAACTGGTGAAGATGGGCAATCCAGGTATTCAAGTAAGTAAGATACAAATACTGCAATGTGCCACTAAGATGTAATCAGATAGCGAGATGTTTCATCCTTTAATACTTTTGGAAAGAATCATTATTGAATAGTGAAGGAATTCATAAGTTTCTAAACTTAAATACCTGCTAATCTCGTGAATGGTACACGTTTCCCGTTCTCATCGCATTCGTCTTCATTCCATGAATCGTCACCATCGTTCTTGTCTTCTAGGCAGCGCCGAATCTGACGCATTTCCATACGATCCTCTTCACTGTTTATCACATCCAGTGGCACGGCTCCATTACGTCGTGCTCGTTGTAGTACTGCTCTGGCGTATGAGATCGCTCCACGCATTTCTAGATCCTGTGACCATCTAATGTACAGTTGGGCACACCTGTAATTACTGTCACAAATAAAAAGGAAAACTGAAGAGCTTTTACCCTACTGCTTTGACAATGCTTGGATACTGGGATGGCCAGTCTTCACTGGCTATGTGGACCCTAGCATAATTCCCACCTTTTCGGAGTTTTGCTGGTTTAGCCATTGCGGTTCCCTGAAGACTCGAGGCCAGGCTGCCCAAAGCCTGCCCGGGTCTTCACCATCACAGGCAGTCGCAGCCTTTGTGGACCAGACGGAAACTTGCCACCATGCGACTAGTTCGATACCAGGACGGTAGTGAATCCTCGTATTGACTAACCCTTAGCTGGACTTCCTGATGGAAATTCCGAACTCCTTCTCAGCTTGGGAGACCTTGCTAAGAGGACGAATCTTAACGCTATACATCACACCCAAAAACACTTCCCAGCCACGATGGCGGTAAACCGCTGGGAGGTCTTTCAACAACACTGTTTGGAAAAACTTCCCAAGCAAGGAAAAAGAATCATAACTATGTTATACATGATAACGGGCAAATAACCACCAGTCATTGGGATTTTTCTGCAATTATTTTTTCAGTAGAAATGGAAGTAAACAAAACAACACTGATAAAGCACTTTCCACACGGTTAGTGAAAGAATGTACAATTAATTCTTTTGACACCTTTTACAAGAGCGTTGTGCCACTTCACCTAGTTAGCGATCCGATTGTATTCGCATGCTGGTAGATTTCCCAACCGTGGTCAAGACTGTTGTCAGCTAACTTCTCCCAGATGCGCATCATTCTTTCGTCGTCAATATATTCTGGACATTTTGCGTACCTAAGAACACTTGAATTTCATAAAACCACGAAAAATATGTAGCGTGGAGAATGAAAATAGAAAATTACAGTAGCGACAAGCTCAAAAAAGGACGAAGTAGTTGGGTGTGATATCTGGCTTTCAATGACTCGTAAAAGCCTACCGATGTATCGGGCCAGTGTTGCTATCCTCTCACACTAGTCTGGTACCAATTTGGTGACCCCGGAGGGGTGGAAGGCTTGGTGAGCGTGGGGCACTGGGGTTAATCAAGTGTGTATTGCAGAGCGCCTTCGACCACTGCGCTACACGTGCACTAGCGATAATATCATGCAGAGAAACATACTTGCGCACAATTTTCCAAAGTAGTGAGTAGTACAAGCGTTGTCGACCACTTGGAAACGTCTGATCGAACCAAGTGCAAAACTCCAGGCAGTGTTTGAGCGGGTCATTTGAATCATCACAGAGTTTCATCATGTTGTCGAACTGCTGATTCGCTAATGACTCCGCTTTTGAGCCACAAGCATTATGAGCCAGAGCCTGGGTAACAGGTCATTAAAACGAGGCAAACCTACTTGATTTTCAAAATAATGGTGGAAAGACAACCTGGTTTATGGCATCAACACGACGACCAGATTTCAGCGGTTTCACATTCTCTCGACACAGCTCCCATTCGAATTCGAACGGGGCTGTCTGCACTGATCCTTCCACAGAGGAACCACCTGACATCTCTGCAAGTTCGGAATGTTTCGAGGGCTGTCAACATATGTCGAATTTATACGAAAACCTTTGTGAAGGGTTGGTTTTTGAAAAAGAGAGGTCACTGGAGCAAAAATGGTGGTGTTGAAGGCAGGAGAAAGCTGAAGATGGGCCATTTTGAGAACATGGATTGTAAATTCTCCATCGGATCAACAACATAAGGAAGTGGAAGGACTCAGACAAACTTTCTTTTTGGCAAAACATCGAAAAACAAATAGGAGTAAAGCAGTAATAATAACAAAAGTGGTTATATTCTTTCGCGAAAATCGTCTATATCCATAGGGCCATGAGGGCCATGTAAGGTCAGAAGTAGCCGCCATTCTGAACAAAACCTATTCTTAAGAAGGCAATCCTAATTCCGACCCAAATGTCTTGTCAACAACTTCTCAGGATTCTTGACAATCAATCTTATCCATAAAAATTGATTGAAAAATGTTCAAAAGCAAACATATCTCTTCGTGAAGAGCGATTCGAATCTTCACGTAGTAAGATGATGGTGGCAGTTGGGGATATTTCCACTTAGTGATGAAATTTTTAATACTATGGACAACTAAATTAAGTGAAACATCGGCATAATGAAGAGAAACCTTATGTAGAACGACCTTAACCTCAGCTGTAGCACTATTGTATCCTACGATGGTTCACAAACCCTTTAAACCGAACAAGAACAGAAGGCTATTTTAGACATCACTGGATCGAAATCGAAAACGGAAAAGTTGACTTTGTACTCATTTTTAAATAATCTGTTTAAATGCGCTAAGTATCAAAAGCCCGGAGTCGACTCCTTAGGAAATGTAATGTGCCGTTTAGGGATTGTCCTCCAAGCAAACGATAATCGATTTAGTGGTTTCCGTAGCTCTAAAAAGCTTCGTAGCTTCGGCTGATATTCGCTAAAGTGTCGCAGAGTCACTACTTTTAACAAATCCACGCCGACACTACTCTGTGCGTCCTGGGTTTGACGGAACGAGTTTACAGTCTCCGAATGAAACTTATGATCTTACTATGAACTTATGATCAAACCTATGAGCCTAATAACGTCGAACGTGCAATCATTATCCATAAAAGATTTGAAAAGAGTAACCAGTAAATGCGACTGTCATTTTAGAACAAGAAAATCTCGAAGAGAAATCATTGTTGACGTAGTCCACATTCCTCTTTGGATCTCAACAGACGCACGGACTTGATTCCAAAGAGAAAACGAAGACTGAGACCAAAGACGAAATGATTCTGTAGAAATTAAGCAGGTCAAATTTAAAATCTCTCGAATTTCCCGCGCACCAGTTTTAGCGGGGCATAAATTTAACGGTAGTCCACCTAATTTGTTTTCTCATCTACCCAATTCTTTGGCATTTATTTTTTGCTATTCTAACGGTATCGTTCCAAAATGAGCGACCACTTTATCTTAAAACGAACTATTTTCTCTATTCAGATAGTTCTTGTCCAAGCTACGTGCCGTCGCCGTTTTGTTTAGCTGTCTTTTTTAAACCACATTTCATCATGTTTTGTGTATTTCTTCTTAATTTGAAGATTTTATCCTTGGCTTTTGTTTTTTTTTGACGTTTTTCATATTCGGAATGTACTTGAAGAGGTTTGCCAATACTATAACTGAAGTGAATTCTGCCTAGTAAGGTCCTGAAAACTGGTAACTATTGTAATTTAAGGATTTTTTGCATTGTCATTCCATGGAATTAGTTCCAATAATTTCGAGATATCCGATGGTAATTGTTTTCTTTCAGGAATGTTCAGGAACTGTTTTGCTCCTTCCAGAGACGATATAACAGTCCTCATCTAAAATCCACATTTTCTCTTCATTGGCGTTATTTCTTTTCGTATACTCTTCTCAGTTATTCCTTGGTTTTCAGGATGCTAAGAGCACTAGGTCGAGCAACTTACTTCGTTCGATTTACTTACTCGATTCGACCGAATGTTATGGTTCAACCAAATGCCATCGAATACTTCAATCGAATGTCACCGAGTTTGCTTACCCTGGATCAAATTCGATGGAATAGTGGCCCAAATCCTCGACGGAAAAGTTTCTTAGGAAACCTTATCGATAATGTCAAGGAGGAACTGGAAAAGAATAAAGAATTGCAAGTAGGTTGTTCTTGATCTTTTTTTCTACGAATGAAAATATTTTAAACTTGATAGGCTTAAGATCCATCATTTCTTCGTTGATTTTAAAAATGCAAATCATATATTCTTATATCAAGCAGTACTCTTATTCGATGTTCTTCTTTAATAAGCAGACACGAGCTTGTTATTATAGGATTTATTAGGATACCAAAGCTGACGTTTCGGCGGTTTCGCCTTCTTCAGAGCTGTTTATTTGTTGCATTTTAGTTGGTGGATAGCAGCCGCATAGAGTAGTACATGGGCAGTAACTGTCTCGAACTTACAACAAATGAACTGCTCTGAAGAAGGCGAAACCGCCGAAACGTCAGCTATTGTACCCTAATAAATCCTATAATAACAACCTCGTGTCTGCTTATTAAAGAAAAACATCGAATTATCAATCAGTGCCGAGGTTATAAGAAAGTTGGTCGTGGGTAGTACTCTTATTTTTTCCCTTAGGTCTTAGGAACTCTGAAGTTTAAAGTTTAGAAACTGCTACAAGTACCGATTCTTAATCTGCTGTATAGTATTCAGTATCCTTTCTCTTTCTTTACCATTCTTATCGTACCTGTATCATTCTCTCCTCTATCATCCTTATCATTCCATTATTCGTCGTAAATTTGGGAGTTATAAGTGGAAAAGGGAATTGTTTAGTCATGGATACGTGAAGATGAAGACATCCACTGAACTCTGGCATATCATCTTGCAATATTTGGCTTTTTAATTACTGTCCAATGTTTTTTTCGTGGCAATGTACTATGTGGAAAATAGCCACAGCGACGCTAAGATATTTGCAGAAACTCGAAACCCTAGGCCTGCTTCGAACTCGTGATCACCTTCTCCGGGAACATATGTCTTACCCGCTGCTCCACCGAGACCCTTACTTTCCGTTTCTCTCAGATAAAAAGTTCAACATTATGATTTCGACAGGTTAAATGATTTCGATGTCGATTTGTGCTTCCTAAGTCATCTGCTTTGACGGGTGATTCCTTGTGGCATTGTCAAGTAGAAAACTGGCTGAGAGAAAGGCAAAACAAGGTTCTCGGTGGTGTAGTGGGTAACATGTGCCTGAGTCTCTGGAAAGGGTAGAGTTGCGGGTTTTAAGCTAACCTAGCAGATCTATTTTTTTGCGTTACGGTTTATCTCCCTTCATTCATCTTCGGCATTGATCATTGATTTACTCTGTACTTTATGGTCTGGAAAGGGATTGCTAGTACAGCATTTATGTTAGAAAAGAAAACCAGCATGTCGGTTGGTTTCACTAACCTTAAAGCCCTAGAAGGGTTTTTTCTGCAACGATCCAAGAATGCTCCACTTGGCTGGCTCTTTTTAAAAATTCTAGAGTTGTTCCACATATCTCTTTCCGATTTTTCTGTTTTTAAGATAATAATTGTTGTTTAAGCGTCTTGGGTGCGAACGACGTCTCTTTTCTGTGATCGAAAATGGAAAATAATTCCGTGAAAACTACCGCTTCTTTTTTGAGTCTCACCAGAAATAGTTCTCTTGGTACTGCCTTTGTGAATTTGGAAGAGGCAAACTACACTAAATCATCGACGGGGACAGAATTCAATGGATAAAGCTCTCGGTATTGATCAATCCCTGAGTGATGCGCCATGCATTCGGCTTCATTAAGCATCGTTGGAGGTGACTGAATGGATATCTGGCCTTTACATTGACTCACGATGGCCTCCCGATGTATCGAGCCAGCCAGTGCTGTTATGTTTCCAGACAAATCTGATACCGTTTTTCTGACCTCGGAGAGATGGTAGACTTGTTGAGCCTTGGACACGGGGTTCGATCCCATGTGTGTTGCAGGACGCCTTCGACCACTGCGCTACATGCGCGGGTTAGAATTGATATGATTTTTAGTGCAAAAAGAAAACAGTTTTGCTACTCGTGTATGCTAAATATCTATTCGATACGGAATCTTTCTGAGTGCATCATGTTTCTTGGAGAATTCTTCCGTTATGCTCTATTTTATCTCTGTTCTATCTATAGCTATTTTTAAAACAAAAATTTCAGGAACACCAGAAGGAATTGCGAAAACGAATGGAGGAGCTGAACGACAGTGAGGCCTTGAAGGACGCCAGGAGAAAGTTTGTGAGTGCATCTTTTGAGAAATATAATGTTGTAAGCAAAAACCATGTATTGCCGTGATTTACTTTTTCATTTTTTAGGAAATTGTGGAAAAAGAAACTCTGAAGAGCTCACAAGTAGTAAAAGCAAAGCTAGAGGAACTGACCGACCAGCTTAGTAAAGTAAGCAGGAATTCTGTTGTGCGATTCATTTGCCATATATGTATATATATGTATGTATACATATATATATGTATATAATACGCATACATACATTTCCGTACATATATGTGTATGTATATTGCATATATATGTATATGAACATATACAGATGATCAAAGAGGTCCAAAAGACAGAAGCAGGGAAGAAGATTACAGCTGCAGGGACCGAAGCTCTGAAGCAGGTGAGCTTTCAATGGCTTGCGTCATATCAGTCTGAGTTTTCATTTGGCGTGAGCCAACAAGATTGTTCACAGGCACGTCTTGCTGCTGAGCATGTGGAAAAAATTGCGGAGAAAGTAGGAGACACTGAGGTTTACAAGAATGTGTCAGCAGTGAGTAACATTTGTTGTCTGGAACAGGTTTTCTGCAGTTTGCTAGTAAATTAGAAAAACACTTAGCTTAGTGTTGTAAGCTTCTAAGCCTGAAACTGGTTAATGTCACATTTCGAGATGGAAGATTTTAGTATTACTCTTTTCTCTTTGGTGTATCTTTCCAGCACTTTACCGCCTCCTCGTGGCTAGGAGGTTTTCATGGGTGTTAAGCCGTAATGTGCAGCTGGGGATTCATCTCCCCAACAGAGGCTCCCAAGCCGAAAAGGAGTCCCGCATTTCCATCAGGTAGCCCAGCTAAGAGTAAGTCAATACCAGGATCCACCACCGTCCTGGTATCAAACAAGTCGTATGTGGGAAATCCCCCTCCGGTTCACAAGAGCGACGATTGCCTGTGGTTGTGACAACTTGGGGCAGACTTTGACTATGCTGACGTCGGGTCTCCAAGGAACCGCAATAGCTAACCAGCAAAGTTCCGAGAAAAATGGAAATTATGCTGGGGCCGGAACAACCAGTAAAGACGGGTCATCCAAGTATTTCAGTGTATAAGAAATTGGGTATTAATTGCTAACATTAGGTTGACATCAACTTTTCTTTAGTCATTGTGTTCAATCTGATGGGGCATCTAGTATTTGTTGGAGTTTTTTTCATTTTTGATTACAATATTAGTGAATATTTACTTGAATATCTAACCGATTCGTATTCACAAGGAAAGTGCAAGTCTCGACAGATCTTTTGTTTCCTTCGGACTTTATTTTACGGAAAATTAAAGTTTTCCTTGTTTGGAATTTCGAAAAGCTGTGCTATAGTGCTCCCAGATTGTCTCTCCAGGCTATCCCTTCTAGTTATTAGTTATTTAGGTAATTTTTTAAACATATGAACTTCTTAGACGACCATATCAATGTTGCACTTTGCCGTTCCTTTTATACATCCTTGCCATACGAAAGCTTTAGTTTTCTTAGATGTTCCACCTTACGTTTACCTTACCTTACCTACCTTACTGTAGTACGTTTAGGTTGTACGTATATAGTGTATTTTTGATTTTCAGTCAATGAAAACTGTGAAAGATGAGATTGATACTATCACTGACGTTCGCATGTACTGTCGACCAGGTTCGTGGCGAACTGGCCTCCTTTAGTCTTCATTCCTAGCTTTCTTTATTCAAGAATCTTCCTGATTTTTAGAAGTGTTGGAAAAAAGGTCAGACGGTTTTTCTGACGCTTTTGCAAGTCGTAGCGTTCAACCGAATGAGTTAGTTTTTGCAATATTTTTTCTTATGGGACTATTGTTTTTAACAGCTTTGGAGCTTGGTAACATTAGTATTCACTACAACGGGCCCGTGTGGAGCAGTGGTCGGAGGCGCCCTGCAAAACACATGGATCCATCTCCGCGCCCAGAGCTCACCAAGCCTTCCATCCCTCCTGGGTCGGGAAATTGGTACCAGACTTGTGTGGGGGATAGCAGCATCGGCTCGATACATCAGTAGGCCATTACGAGTCATTTTAAAGGCCAGATGTGCATTAAATCACCTCTAACGATACTTGATGAAGTCAAATGCATGGTGTATCGCCCAGGATTGTTCAACGCCTAGAGCTTTATCCTTTATCCTTTACAGCTATTCATGTTATTGGTTTTACCTAAAACGCTTCTTCACTCTGCTCTATCTATAACTGATTATAGAGAAGCCACGGGCGTAACATTGCACAAGGAGTCACGTTGGTATGCTGGATGGAAGAAGTTCTCGGAAGAAAATGTCTATTACAATAGTTTGTTTTAGAAATATTGATACTAGTAAGATCAGTTTTTCTCTATTGTTTACAAAAATAATACTAATGTTACAGTTCCTAATATAATTAATATAATCCAATTTACGAGATTCTTGACTGGAAAATCAGATATGAGGAGAGTGATAATATCGCTGTTCGACTAGTGCGTGGGTTGGCAGAGAAGATAGGCAGTGTTTTTGGTGAGCGTTTCTCTTAAGAGAAGTCGATTTTTCCTGCCGGTTTTTGCAAAGAGCGATTTCAAGGAAGCGAAAATCAAGTGTCGGAGGTTCTTACGGAAATCGCTAAAGTCGATCCATCTTTCGATAAAGGCGAATGGCTACGATTTTGTGAGAAGAAGGTCATACCAAACGTACTTGAAGCGTTTATACGTGGCAATTTGGAAGTTCTACAAGATTGGTGTTATGAAAGGGTTAGTTCAACTTGTTTTCTTTGGGTTCACTGGTTAACATAGTTGTCACTCAGTTGTTTTTCTTTCATATTATGATAATGTCACATCCCATTTTCTTCTTATTTGTGCTTATTTTTCATGATTCTTTTCATGTTCGTAGGCGTTCGTTGCATTGTCCAATGTGATCAAAGAGTATAAGAAGATCAACTTTAGTACATCTGATAGTCGCATAATCGATATAAGCAAAGTGGAGGTTAGTTCTTTATTTTTTGGTTTGTTTTGTGATCTTAGTATTCCTCCCAACGGTTTGCCGTCTCATCGTAACTGGGAGGTGTTGTGTCAGGCTGTGATGTACAGCGGGGAAATTTATCCACTCTACAGCGTCTCCCTCGTTGAGGAGTCCGGCGTTCTCATTAAGAAGCCCGGCCAAAAATAAGCTAATACCGGAATCCACCATCATCCTGGTATCAAAATTACTTGCATGGTGGCAAATCTTCCTCTAATCCACAAGGCGGCGACGTGCAGACTTTTGCTAGGATGACCTCGGGACTCTAGGGAATCGCAATGGCTAAACCGGCAAAACTCCGAGACAGTGGAAATTATGCTGGGACCCACACAGTCAGTGAAGGTGGATCAGCCAAGTATCCAAGTATATGTTAGTACCGTGCCCTACCGTGAAAATTATAATAGACAGCAAATAAGAAGTTAACTTTATATGTTAGTATTCTTCTGTATTTATTTAGATGGTTTCGGGAAAGATGATGGAACAGGGTCCGGTGTTGATAATTACTTTCCAAGTTTTTATGATTAACGTCGTGAGGAACAGCGAAGGCAAAGTTGTTGAGGGCGACCCGGTTAGTAATTTGTACTACGGTTCATATTCCTTTGTAGTTGTTCCTTTCGAATGATTTTCCTCTTCTTTTTTAGAACACTCCAGTGCGTGTTCACCATGTTTGGGTAATGTGTCGTGATATGGAGGAGTACCATTCAGCAGTGGCTTGGAAACTTTTAGAAGTTCACATGCAACAAGGTCATCTTTCAATATGAAGCATATGGTTCGATCTCGTTGCTACAATTAGGTTTACAGTCTCATTTAGGACCGTTAAGAAGTTGTGCAGTGAAAGCTAGTTAAGTTATTACTATATCGTTCATATTGTTTTGATTGGAGTTTGGACAGGTTATTTTGCGGTCAGACTAGGGCCTAGCTGCGCGTTATACACGAAATCTCGGTCAATTTACTACCATACTTAGCGACTCACATAGTTTTGTGATGAGAAGCTGAAATTTCTTCCTTGCAAACGGGTGTTGATACTAACATGTTACTTGTTATTTGTTGAATTAAAGCAGTTAAAATGTTTATGCGTATAAAAATTTGTCGATAAATAACAATGGTTTCAGGGTCAGGGCTATGAGGCCCGTTTATTCGAGTATGTATAGCTTTTTGATACCCACATGTGGTTTGCTGAACTCTGGAAGTGGAGGCTGGGTACACTCACGGGTAGCTAGCCAGCCTCTCCCAGAGTGCACATGGAGTTTATTTGTTTGAGGCGTCTCCTAACCGCTTCCCTTATAATTCCCTGTTACTTGGTTGCAGGGTTTTGGCTGAATTGACCAGTAGAATACAATACAGGTGATACAGGTGAAATCACAATGGTATTCGTTTAGTCGTTTCTGAAATACGTCTCATCAGTGGTAATTCGAAATACGTCTTCACTATGGGAGAATGTTTACGGAATACATAAATACGGGAGAATATAAGGGGTAGATATCTTTTTAGATTGCTGGTACTGAGCTAAAATGCACCATTATACGTTGAATCGGACGCTGATTTTCGGTGTTGTAGAGTTTTTTGAAGGAGTGAGTCTATCCTTTCCTCCTCTTCGGTATTCTGGGATAGAAGCGTAATTTAAAAAGTCACAATAATCCAGGACTATTGAAAGACGTGGTGAATATTTCATGAACATGGTGAAGAGTGATTCTATTGGACGTTAACCAATCGAATATACGTTCCAGCGTCTGTTCTAAAGACGATGCGAGACGTGGTCGTTCTCGTTAGCATAAAGACGATGACTTCTTATCATCGATTTCTCTACGATTCTAGGAAATTCGAAGTAGTTCCGCATGATTTAGCGCCCTCATTTGAAGTTGATGGAGAAATCTCGGAACTGCTGTCATTTGAGATTTCCACTTAGAATGCTGTTTTTGAACTTATTCTACGCTGTTATCGACCTATTGCATTCTTATACATTCAAAGCAGCTAGTTCTCTCCGGTTCGGTTCTACGGTTACGAATTCACTCCACCCCTGATGAACGGTAGGCAATTGGACCGCCTGGAAATCTACATATGAAAGTCGTCATCACGCTCGCCTTGCAGGCGCACCGCACACCATTTGCGGTAACGACCCTTTGTTCCGTAGCAAATGGGAACTCTGTGTACTTCCATAGGGTTGCGCTGTGTGGTGGTTTGCTTTCACACATAGATTTAAGATATGAGAGATTGCTAACGTAGGTCTAAGAAGTACTCCCGATGTACTGTCAACGAGTTTCGAGAATTTAGTTACTCTTCCATAGAATCCTCTTCAATGTTAGGCATATTGAAGTAAATGAATTTACCGGATACTTGATGGTCAATGACATAGAGATAACTAGTTCACCTTTTTATCAGATTTTGTTTTCACGGCCCGAAATCACATATTAGGATCAAAGCACTTTTTACATTCGACCCATTTCCTCTAATTCTCCGTCCAGACCTTGCGTGTGTTGTATTGTGTTGTATGTCTTCGAAGACCTTGCGTGTGTTTACGGCAGCTGCTTGACGATTTTCGTTTTCGTCATGTACTAGTTTCTAGACCTCGGATGAATGCAGGGTTTAATGGGACCCGGAAGTGGTCGAACTAGAACCTGGGATGGTAGGCTGGTCATTCCGCGTGGTTAATGGCATCACTACCACTGCGTTTCCCGATCCACCATAGATAATGTTATTGAAAACTGAGCGGTCAGTGAGGTTGAAAAATGTGAAATTTCTTATGTTTCAAACCTATTGAGATGTTGTTCTCGATTACTAAACTGATGTTAGGTTGGTATAAAAATATTTATACAGCTAACATTTCGACATCATCTTCAGAGCCGGATCAATCCCAGTTGATGAGATGCTTCACTTAGTGATTAATGAAAAGTGGTGCTCTGGAGGGATAAATAGATACTTTGCATTGCGTTTTCAAATGTCATGCGAGCCCTAAGACGAACAGCGTTCCCCAGGTCTATATCACAGGCAGCCGCCAATACTTGTTGTTCGGGGGAAGGTTTGTTGCCTACGCGTCTACGACTGGTGTTCTCCGAACATGGCACTGACTCCAGTAGCCGCAGCGAACCCTTTGATTAGCCCACGGAGCGATACAAGTCGATGCAACAGAAGAAATCGGTCGCAGAAGAATTCGAATTGTCGTCTGAACTACGTCAACTACAGGAATGAAAACGACGAAACCTTGAACCACTGCTATGGCGGCGACAAATGTCGATAGTGTCGGAATGTTATTCACCATCTAAAGCGGCTGCCCATTTTTGGGTTCCAGAGACAGCACTTAAAATATTCAAAGGTTTGTAAATTAATAAAATTCGCACAGCGGGAATAAATAAGTTCTTCAATATTGATCGGTCTGGTAATGAACATTACGTTTGTGTGTGATACTTATTAACGTTGATGTGTTCTATACAGTGAACTACGGGATAAGTAGATGAATAAGCCACCATTTAATACCTTGCTGACAACCTATACTTCTAAATTTATGGGTTTAAGACTTTTGTTAGAGCTCGCGTGACGCAGTGGTCGGAGGTGCCCTTCAACACACAAGTGGCATCGATCGCCGTGCCCATGGCCCACCAAGCCCTCTATCTCTCCGAGATGGGCAAATTGGTACCAGACTTGTATGAGAGGATAGCAGCACTGGCTCGATACAACGGTAGGCTATCGCGAGTCATTGCAAGGGCCAGATATACATTCATCACCACCAGTGGTGCTCAATGAAGTCGAATGCGTGGCGCATCCTTCAAGATTGATCAACGCTTAGATATCCTTTATCCTTTTAAGCCCTTTGTTATAATAGATGTAGATATCGTCGAAGTTTGCATGAGAGTGTTCTCATTCCAATGCGATACGCGTACGAACTGCTAGAGGATGTATATGTAATAACTATAAGAAACTTGGTGGTGAAATAGAATAATATAGTACTGTTTCATCTATAAACTAACACGAGGGTGGTTCTCGAAAAAAATCTGTTCGGCCGGCTTTCCGGCGCAGTCGGCTTCTTCAGAGCTGGAGTAATTCGAGTCGATAGTCCATAGCCGACCGCCGTTTTGATGTGGGCCTTCATATTGTCATCAAAACGAAACCACTGGAAGAAACAACACATTGATTTTCCATACTGAGGTTAAATGAAAGTCTGCTCATAAACCTAGAATGATATTGATCTATATGTTTTGCATTCTACGTTGAAGATCCATCACGTTCTGAATGGTTGCGGAGTTGCTCAGTTCCGATTGTTTATTCAACGAAGACGAGGGCGTAATTTCTCATTGACCTGTTGTGGTTCGTCGTTCCTTACAGCTTCAACGGAAAGCAAATCAGAACTGGCTTCTGGTGATGAGGCCAATTTATCCTTCGTTTATCATCTCAATACTCAAAACCATTGTAGCACTACCAGAACGTCGGCTTCCATTGAACTCTACAAGAATCTGTTCAATGGCGCTGTTGTCAGCTGATGAGACGATACCTGTGGGTCGGAAGAGCCCATTTCGTCATTCTATGAAGGCGATTGATATCAATGAAAGCTTAATACAGCTTCTCGTTCGACTTCTTCACTTTGTTAATTTACATTGTCTCTTCAGTCAATTATCTCAACTAAGTGTCACTTTGACCTAGTAGTTTACTGTCTTTGTGGCTGGGCTACGTTTGTAGGCTCTCAATCTGAGAACGCGTTCAGTATTTCTATACTGAAACCTATTCAAGCGTAAATTATCGTGACAGTAACGTAACCACTGGCTCGCAGATGGTGACGATCTGGAAAAGCTTTATCACGGCTCTAGAAACTCCAAGAAAAGAAAACATATTACCAGTTAAATCGGAATTGTTCAGAGTCGGCACAATTCTTTGTTGTTGTGAACATGACCATTGAAGTATTCAGCTAAGTATTCTAGCGTTACTACTACTAACTTACTTGGATACATGTACGCTCCGTCTTCACTCGTGCGGGACCCAGCATAAGTTCCACTCTCTGGGAATTTGCTGGTTTAGACATTGTGGGATCCTGGAGTCCCGAGGAGAGCCTGGCCAAAGACTGCCCCAGTTCGTCGCCACCGCAGGCAGTGGCCGCTCTTGTGGATCAGGGGAGATTTACCACTTTGCGACTAGTTTGACACCAGGACGGTGATGGATCATGATATTGCTTTACTCTTAGCGTCCGGATGGAAACGACGGATTGTGTTACTACTATTGTTAATAACTTGACGTTTTTTCTGTCGTATACCTCTTGGTTGGGTGCATTTCGTACAAATTCCTACTTATCTTTGATTCACGTGAATAAGGTTAGACCCATCATTAGTTGTGTAGACGGGCCAACGGATAGAATAACCTGGTTTTAAGTTTAATACTTACCCAGTTGCTTAACCACATTCCAACTCACCTCACAAACACTCAAATGTTCCTAGAACGTTTATGTAATGCATTTCCTAATAAAACGTACGTGATGGAGTCCTTCAACGTTACCGCGCTGTACACCAACGCGTCGAATGACTCCGTAATGGAAGCCATCTTCAAACTTCTTGTTGAACATGAAGGAAGAATAAATATGCATGGCTTGTCCATCCAGCAGCTAATGGCTCCCTTAAAGGAGTGCCTAAACTGCTCGATTTTCTGATGGTCTGGGAAATATTTCGCCCAAATAAAGGGGTTGGCAGTGGGACAGCGATTGGCACCAAGCCTTACCATTGTGTTTATGTCTAAGATAGAAGCCCCTGTTCTCGATCTCCGGCCACTACCCTACTGCAGATAT